GGATGTTTCTGTTAATTCACTTGTTAATTCAAATCTAAAAGCAGTCTTCAAAAGTGATGATTCTGAAATAGTCCCAATGTAAGATGTGCATGTTTGAACTTCCATTACCAAGAAAATATATATTCATATTTATGTTATAAACTGAAATTACCATATCTGTACTGTTTATGTCCATCCCTTTGTCAATCATGGCTCGGACACTGAGAAGGTCACCCTTGTCCACTGCTGACCATAGTGCCAGCTGCTTGTCCCTCTGAGTGACCACCCCATCAGTCCATTCTCCAGACCAAGGGTCAAATGTCAGGTCTCCTATCATCCCAGTTCACTGCCTCTTAAAACACAAGTACATACTAGCTAGGCAATTGGTTGCCAATAGAAAAGTAGTGTGTGCTTCAGGACTAACTAACTTTTGACGAAATATCAGATCATTTTATGTTTTAATGCTAATAAAATTCTTCAATTCATATTTTTATCAGTTGTGAAGAAAAGATGATAAAATATTTAAGGAAAATCATACTTTTTGTAATTAATGAATTATATTAAACACAGGAAAATGAAATGTTTTTGGATTTGAATTGAAAATAATTGTTTGAATAATATCAAAAAAGAAAATGATAGAAAGTTTATTTTCATTAAATTGTAAATAAATGTGTCTCCTGTTCTTTTCTATTTTCTAAATTTGTCAAAGTGAAAAAATTACAAAAAGTAGAAAACCAAATTTTTTTTACAGATAATTGACTGACACTGAAGTGGCTATAATTAATTAATTAATTAATTGGTAAGTAGGCTGATAATTAGTCTTGATGATTTCTATAGCAACCAGAGATCAAGAAAGTCTGATAATTTATCCATTAGTTCATAGTCTCTACCTTTTGAAAAATCCAAAGTATCGTGTATTTTTCACATATATGAAAGTAAGAATTTGCTCACCTGTTGTGAATAAAGTCCTGCGTGTGTCCAGATATAAATATCTACAAGAGGCTGTCAATGAGCAGACCATAAATACTACAGATAGCCACTCTCCCCATCACTGAGCTCTGTGTGGACCTTTGTGGGGGAAATACTGCTGGGCTTTAAAATGCTAAGTGTGGTCGTATTAAAGTATGGAAGAATTGAATGCCAAAGACATGATTAGACAGGTTATGGTAGCCCGTATATACCAACTAATGTAAAATTATTAATTCTTGTGAGGATTTTTTTTTCACTTGCTTCTTTAGTAACCTCAATCCACAAATTCTTATGTCCACTAACTTTTCAAATAAGTATAAGTGTTCACAGAATAATATTAAACAGAAAAAAAAAAAACCATGAAAAATTTTACCCACAAAAACATCTTATTTTACTGTGTTATATCTATTTAGTACAGTATCAAAGTTGGCCAGGTACAGACAAAGCTTGTAATGGGATATGATGATGAGATAACTTGTAGCTGTTGTCCACTATGGTCTGTTTCTTCTGGAAGTCAGAGATCATTTTAGCTCTATCCTTAATAGAGCTGTTTTTTGTAACATGTGTTCCCATAGCAACACTGTACCTCTGTTGTATGTGGAGGAAGTATTACCAGTAATATCTGATAAAGCAGTAGTATTCCTGTGATATAGTAAACTTCATGCTATCCCTTGTACAAGTGGTACAAGTACAGTGTATGGTTGGCAATTTCTATATGTGAATATGTGACACAATTGTATGTGTAATAGTCTTCAACTGTTAGATGTGTCTTATACTTCTATAATAAAAAATTGATCAGATGATATAGGGTTGTACTAGAACCACAATGTCTTTTTATCTGAAGGACAGTGTAGAAGACTGTCCCACACACTGCTGCCGACCAACACTGCCCCACACACTGCTGCCGACCAACACTGTCCCACACACTGCTGCCGACCAACACTGTCCCACACACTGCTGCCGACCAACAGTCCCACACACTGCTGCCGACCAACACTGTCCCACACACTGCTGCCGACCAACACTGTCCCGCACACTGCTGCCGACCAACACTGTCCCACACACTGCTGCCGACCAACAGTCCCACACACTGCTGCCGACCAACACTGTCCCACACACTGCTGCCGACCAACACTGTCCCGCACACTGCTGCCGACCAACACTGTCCCGCACACTGCTGCCGACCAACAATGTCCCGCACACTGCTGCCGACCAACACTGTCCCGCACACTGCTGCCGACCAACAATGTCCCGCACACTGCTGCCGGCCAACAATGTCCCGCACACTGCTGCGGACCAACAATGTTCCGCACACTGCTGCCGACCAACAATGTCCAGCACACTGCTGCCGACCAACAATGTCCCGCACACTGCTGCCGACCAACACAATTCTAATCACTGCTGTTTACCAACACTTAAAAAATAAATATTTAGATAGAATTTGAAGGAATCAATGATTGAAAGAGAAGTTAGGAGAGGTCATTTAAAAGAAAATTTGAGGGAGTGGTCAATTAAAAAAAGTAGTTGAAGGAGTTAGTGGTTAAAGAAGAAGTTGAAGGAGTAGTTATGGTTGATAGAATGGTTAATATAGAATTTACGGGAATTGTCCATTAAAAGAAAAGTTGAAGGAGTTTAGGGAGAGGTTAGTTGTAGGGATGTAGATAGTGAATTAAGAAGTTGGGGATACAGCTTTTAATTGTTAAAATGTGGTTGATATATCCTCTTACTATTGTGTGGCCTACTGACATTACACTTACTGGGATGCAAATATTGTTTCATTTGATATTAAAGTATCTGATATCTCTGAAGTAAAGCTGTCTTAATTTCAAAATATTAGAAAGAAAATTGCTCTTTAAAATGTTATAAATCTACATGAGTAGTAATATCACCCTGTAGTTGTAAAAGGGTGACTGGATGTGACAAATATCTCACTACTGTGAAGATGTCTTAGAGCTCACTGAATTATATCAGATTCAGGCTAACTGCTGTGAAAGGATTATATATGGTGTTGGGAGATGTGAGTTTCTCTGTGAAGCGATTTAACCTGTTATAAAATATATACATTGTATTGTCAGAGTGTTACCATATGTCAGTGGTTTTACTGCATTTCTTTTCATCAGGATCTCAGTCTGGTATAATTTTGCATTTACAAATCTGCCTCCAAAATATTAAATGAAGATTTGATGAGTCCCATAGAATGGCGGTATTACAAGCGAAAACTGAGCTAGTAGGTAGAATCTTTTTGTACTTTAAACTGCATAAATAGTCGTCTTTCACAGTAATGGTTAGAGCTAAGTGTCATCAATCACAACATCAGCCAGGTATGCTTTACTCTGTGTACCTAAATTCACCCATCCATTCTAATCTGACATACCTATTCTGAATATACCAGCCAAAGTTTCCGACATTAAACATATTTTATAATTTGAGTGTAGGGTACAAATATTCTTGGTATAGGAACAAAACCCTACACTGCTTTAAGTACTACTAAAAGGGTGAAATATCCTTACAACAAGCCATCTATATTTATTGCTACATTAAACATATTTTATAATTTGAGTGTACACTTGGTATAGGAACAAAACCCTACACTGCTTTAAGTACTACTAAAAGGGTGAAATATCCTTACAACAAGCCATCTATATTTATTGCTACCGTCTAAATTAAAGAATATAAACCATTATATTGTTTTTATAATAAGCCCACCTCAAACAATGAATCAGAGGTAGTGTTGGCCCCCTAAGGTCTTGTATTAAATCCATCCCCTTGACTTTGAGTCAAAAGTAATAAGTTGGCCTCCTGAGGTCCTGTAATAAGCCCTCCGAGGTCCTGTTATAAGCCCACCCCTCTGACTTTGAAGCAGAGATATGTGTTTACCCCTGGGTTCCTGTAATAAGCCCATCCCTGACTATGATTTAGAGGTAATGTGTTGCCCTAGGACATTTTGTAGGATAAATGTGGTACATTTTTTATGAAGTCACTGTAAACTTTAAAATGTTGCTGATATTGTAGAGTGTCAGATAACCACATGATTGATTTATTAACCAAATTAAAAATTTGTTTTAAGAAAGATATTTAAAAAAAATTCCTTTAAGTTATAATGAAGATTACAAACATTGACAGAATAACTCTTTGAACCAGCACAAGACATCAACATAATTCATATTTGAACCAGTATGAGGCATTGACCTAGTAATCATTGGACCAATACGAGACATTGACTTAATTCATATTTACTCAGTATGAGACATTGCCATAATTAATCTTTGAACCAGTACAAGAGATTGACCTTATTACTATTTGGACCAATACGAGACATTGACCTAATTAGTCTTTGGGCCAATACGAGACATTGACCTAATTAGTCTTTTGGCCAATATGAGACATTGACCTAATTAGTGTTTGGGCCAATACAAGACATTGACCTAATTAATTTTTGGGCCAATACAAGACATTGACCTAATTAGTGTTTGGGCCAGTACAAGACATTGACCTAATTACTGTTTGGGCCAATACAAGACATTGACCTAATTAATATTTGATCCAGTATGAGACATTGACCTAATTCATCTTTGGGCCAATACAAGACATTGACCTAATTAGTCTTTGGGCCAATACGAGACATTGACCTAATTAACCTTTGGGCCAATACGAAACATTGACCTAATTACTGTTTGGGCCAATACGAGACATTGACCTAATTAATATCTGATCCAGTATGAGACATTGACCTAATTCATCTTTGGACTAATACGAGACATTGACCTAATTAATCTTTGAACCACTTTGAGACATTGATATATGTTACCAGGTAATTAATAGGTGGACAGGTACATTTTTCACACTGTTTGATATTGAATTATGAAGGTCCTACACTCACAATGTTTTCAGATGGTATAAAGAACCAACATAAAAACAATGTACACAAAATTTTATTTATTAAAAATTTTAATAAGAATTTGAAATTAATCAAATTGCATTTAGCTGCCACCTGTGAACATCAACTTCTGTCAGGTGATCTGCTATTATTGTTGATGCTTTGTCTGTTTCAGGACACCGGACAGACCAGCCCACACAGTGTGACCACAGATGAAAGTGACGATGATGGGTCTGACCTTGAACTGTCCTCTGGCAGTAAGAACACATTCATACTTGAGGTATTATTTATTGTACCAAATGAAATTATTTTTTAAGTTACATTGCTACAGTGTTCTGGTAACATTAAAATCATCTCCTCCAGAATGACTGAGCTGATATCAACCAAATCTGCTTCGAAAAAATCTTTACAAGGTTTTAAAAAGAGGCCCAAAGTCTAATCCTATAGAATTTGATTAAACAATTAAATTTTTTTGCAAGAATTATGAATATACGCAATTATTTCTCCACATTAGCTGTACACACAAATTTGTTTTTGTATCGGTGACATTTCCACTGTCTTGGATTATTGGTGAATGTAGATTCTAATGTTTATGTGTGAGTGAGTACATATGTACTAGGTACACCGACTAGGAGGGTGAGAGGTTTAGACTTAAGAGAGTTGTAAATATACTCGCCTGTTATATCTGTACAGTATTGTATATAGTTATGGTATTTATAATACCCTAGAGTGATAGTAATTCTTGTCTCAAGGGACGATACAGGTACGTGTATTTATGTACTGATAACATAAATTATAGATCTGTGTCCTCTCTCTGCACTGGTCACTTCCACAGGACTGGACAAACTACATACTTACTGATATGGTTATTTTGAACTGGAGCACATAATTTTGTCTTTTCATCCTTTAGTTTTGTGTCGGTAATCCACACATACCAAACAAATAAATACAAAACTAGATAGTTGTTGTGATAAGTTTACTTTTTCTTTGAAAAATTTTATTGGCTTTTAATTTTTGTTCATTATATAAGATGACATCTACAGTGTAACTAAGGAACTTACAAGAAACAGGCATCTACACATCTCAATGTTTGTTCTGATGTTTGTGAATCGGGAAAAAAAAAAACAATATTGAGTTATAAAATTACTCTGTGTTAAATTGATTTTTCTCAAATGCAAGAAATGCAATTCTCACACATATCACAACATCAGTCAAATTGTAACTTCGATCTTCTCTCTGTAAGTTGCTATTTTATTGTGAATGGAATGATTGAAAGTGTTCTGGTTTGGTTTTTTAGTTAACTTTCAATTGATCCTTCAGATTTGATCTCAAGAAACCTCATGAATCTTTTTTCAGACAATTACACTTTGTTCTTCTCATATCAAATGAAAGTGATATAAAGAGGCATGGACAAGCTATGGCATTTTCTGTTTCTAGGTCGACGATACCAAAGACCAGAACATTGCCTCCATCTTGAATGATTCTGTGACTCCCGAGGGATTTAATCTTATTAACACAGAGCGTGTACCTGGAGCACTGTCAGCAAACCTCACCTATAACTTCCAGGTCAGTGACAGATGACTGACATCTGGTTGTAAGTTACTGCTTCTAGCAAACAATGATGCTTACACTGTTAAAGGGATGAAACTATGGATGAATCAGTTAAAATTTGAATAGTAATTTCCATTGAATTGACAATCCGAGTTGAAACCCATGATTTTATAGGAGAATGGATATTTTAGATATGAACTGCTCAATTTAGTTATATACTGAATATTTAAGAACTAAAAACGTACATGCAGGGCTCAAATAAACTTGAATTGGTGAAATGTTGTGGGTAACGAGAAATGATTGAAAATCGTACTGTTGTAAGTAACTAATTATAACATAACTAATTGTTAATGTTAAAATCTCCACCTATTCTCATTTGCACTAAAATACATGTATTCAACTGATTTTTTGAATCCATTATTGCAGTTTTGTACTTTAAGTATTCTTCTTGTATGTGACCTAACAAATTTGTGAATGTTCACATTGTCCATAAGTATCGATCTCTGAGTCGTAATCAACATGGCCTGATCAGTTATCACCTCTCCAATCATACTATCCGGGTAAGACTAGATGTCTGGAACCTCCATACACATCACCAGTGTGATCTACCACTACAAAAAATATTTCCACTACCATATTCCTTGTCATTTTAAACTGTTTCATTTCTGAAAACAAATAAAAATCCAAGTGTCTGTGGTGAATGGACATGTGTTTTCTTCATTTTTTCTGCTGTTCCATACTAATATACCACATTCTTTGTTCTGTTATTTCAATCCATCATACAAGGCATTTTATGATTGTCCTCGGCTTTTTGGATCAAAAGTATTATCATAAGCAGTAACTTGTAAACAGACGTTCATTTTCAGGATTTTGCGTTACATATAAGTTACCTGGTACATTTAAAGACATTTCTCACTCACAATCAGATGAAATAATGAATGGTTTCTGGATGTGTTGTAGATGTTCAACTATGTTTGGCGCCATGAATTCATTCCAACAGCAGACAAGAAACAAGATTTCTCCGACCTGTTTGAAAACATGAAAAAGGTAGATTATAAAAAATACTCTAAAATTGTTAAAAAGGTACATCATAGAAATTAGTCTCAAATTGTCAAAAAGATAGATTATAGAAATTACTGTCAAATTGTCATTTTGAAGATATCGTATTTTATCACTGAAAAATAATAAAACTAATAAGAAAAGTTTGCTTAAAACTTAAACTTAAAACATTCTCAGAAAGCTTTTTTATATTATTTTGGTAATCGGTAAACAATTGTCATATTCATCCTGAAATAAGCGGAGGAAATGACACAGATTTTTTTACTCATTGTAGAATGAAATGCTTATTGTAAAGAAATTTATGTAGATATTCAAATGTGTGTTGACTACCTACAGAACTGAAATAGACACGAGTTGACACATTACCACAAGTAAGCTTATTGGCAGTTAAAAACTTTTAGGTTTTGGGATAAATGAAATCCAGTTTCAAGTTAATATATTTTGAGACCTAGACATGGATTTTGTCAGATATCAAAACCTAGAATCTGTTTTTTTTTTTCTTGAAGAAAATTTGTTTTAAGTTAAGAAGAATGGTTCCATGCTGTGTATGCAAGCTGGAGTTCAATGTTGAGCTCCCAGATGAGGATGAAATACAGGTCAGTATGATGGTCAGACAACGTAGAGGTCATTTCGAAAGGTCATTTTGAGAAATAATTTGTCTCTTTTCTTGTTTATTGGTATGTAAACTGCAATTTTTACAGATGTTTGAATTAAGTTGCATTAATATGTCATGTTGATATATCGAGTCAAAATGCACTCTATACACAAGCAAACAACAAAAAGGAAAATTTGTTTTACATATATTTATTTTGAAAGCATTTTTGTCTTTACTTGCACTCCTTAAAAACAATAACCATTCTTGGACATTATACACTCTGATGGAACAGCCAGACAACTGATGGAAAAGCAAAACAGCTGATTCCAATTTTTTGGAAAGGTTTGTCAACAACAGGAAGTAAACAGAATATAGTTCCATGATAACGTCATTTTTATATTTATTGGGGCTGTTGTATATCAGAGTGGACCTTGTTTTTGTTGCTATAGATCACTCTGACCGGTGTTTGTGTGGGACTCACTGACCATCATCTGGCCACATCTTCTCTCTTGGACATCCATACATCTGGTGCTAAAGGAAACCTCCTGAAAACAGGTAATGTAATCTCATGTTCAGTGATGTGGAAAGGATTAATATCCAGCCAGTCTTCAGTGATTAAAACCAGTCTTCAGTGATTGAACAACCTGTCAGTGATTAAAACCAGTCTTCAGTGTTTGAACCTCCTGTCAGTGGTTATTACCAGTCTTCAGCAATTGAACCATCTGTCAGTGGCTAAAACCAGTCTTCAGTAATTGAACCTCCTGTCAGTGGTTAAAACCAGTCTTCAGTGTTTGAACCTCCTGTCAGTGGTTAAAACCAGTCTTCAGCGATTGAACCATCTGTCAGTGGTTAAAACCAGTCTTCAGTGTTTGAACCACCTGTCAGTGGTTAAAACCAATCTTCAGTGATTGAACCACCTGTCTGGTTAAATCCAGTCTTCAGTGATTGAACCACCTGTCAGTGATTAAAACCAGTCTTCAGTGGTTAAAACCAGTCTTCAGTGATTAAAGCCAGTCTTCAGTGATTAAAGCAAGTCTTCAGTGATTAAAGCAAGTCTTCAGTGATTAAAAAACTAGTCTTCACTGATCAAACAACCTGTCAGTGGTTAAAACCAGTCTTCACTGATCAAACAACCTGTCAGTGGTTAAAACCAGTCTTCAGTGATTGAACAACCTGTCAGTGTTTAAAACCAGTCTTCAGTGATTGAACAACCTGTCAGTGTTTAAAACCAGTCTTCAGTGATTGAACCACCTGTCAGTGGTTAAAACCAGTCTTCAGTGATTGAACCACCTGTCAGTGGTTCAAACCAGTCATCAGTGATTGAACCACCTGTCAGTGGTTCAAACCAGTCATCAGTGATTGAACCACCTGTCAGTGGTTAAAACCAGTCTTCAGTGATTGAACCACCTGTCAGTGGTTCAAACCAGTCATCAGTGATTGAACCACCTGTCAGTGTTTAAAACCAGTCTTCAGTGATTGAACCATCTGTTAGTGGTTAAAACCAGTCTTCAGTGATTGAACCATCTGTTAGTGGTTAAAACCAGTCTTCAGTGATTGAACCACCTGTCAGTGTTTAAAACCAGTCTTCAGTGATTGAACCACCTGTCAGTGTTTAAAACCAGTCTTCAGTGATTGAACCACCTGTCAGTGTTTAAAACCAGTCTTCAGTGATTGAACCACCTGTCAGTGGTTAAAACCAGTCTTCAGTGATTGAACCACCTGTCAGTGTTTAAAACCAGTCTTCAGTGATTGAACCATCTGTTGGTGGTTAAAACCAGTCTTCAGTGATTGAACCATCTGTCAGTGGTTAAAACCAGTCTTCAGTGATTAAAGCCAGTCTTCAGTGATTAAAGCAAGTCTTCAGTGATTAAAGCAAGTCTTCAGTGATTAAAAAACTAGTCTTCACTGATCAAACAACCTGTCAGTGGTTAAAACCAGTCTTCACTGATCAAACAACCTGTCAGTGGTTAAAACCAGTCTTCAGTGATTGAACAACCTGTCAGTGTTTAAAACCAGTCTTCAGTGATTGAACAACCTGTCAGTGTTTAAAACCAGTCTTCAGTGATTGAACCACCTGTCAGTGGTTAAAACCAGTCTTCAGTGATTGAACCACCTGTCAGTGGTTCAAACCAGTCATCAGTGATTGAACCACCTGTCAGTGGTTAAAACCAGTCTTCAGTGATTGAACCACCTGTCAGTGGTTAAAACCAGTCTTCAGTGATTGAACCACCTGTCAGTGGTTCAAACCAGTCATCAGTGATTGAACCACCTGTCAGTGTTTAAAACCAGTCTTCAGTGATTGAACCATCTGTTAGTGGTTAAAACCAGTCTTCAGTGATTGAACCATCTGTTAGTGGTTAAAACCAGTCTTCAGTGATTGAACCACCTGTCAGTGTTTAAAACCAGTCTTCAGTGATTGAACCACCTGTCAGTGTTTAAAACCAGTCTTCAGTGATTGAACCACCTGTCAGTGTTTAAAACCAGTCTTCAGTGATTGAACCACCTGTCAGTGGTTAAAACCAGTCTTCAGTGATTGAACCACCTGTCAGTGTTTAAAACCAGTCTTCAGTGATTGAACCATCTGTTGGTGGTTAAAACCAGTCTTCAGTGATTGAACCACCTGTCAGTGTTTAAAACCAGTCTTCAGTGATTGAACCACCTGTCAGTGTTTAAAACCAGTCTTCAGTGATTGAACCACCTGTCAGTGGTTAAAACCAGTCTTCAGTGATTGAACCACCTGTCAGTGGTTAAAACCAGTCTTCACTGATCAAACAACCTGTCAGTGGTTAAAACCAGTCTTCAGTGATTGAACCACCTGTCAGTGTTTAAAACCAGTCTTCAGTGATTGAACCACCTGTCAGTGTTTAAAACCAGTCTTCAGTGATTGAACCATCTGTTGGTGGTTAAAACCAGTCTTCAGTGATTGAACCATCTGTCAGTGGTTAAAACCAGTCTTCAGTGATTGAACCACTTGTCAGTGGTTAAAACCAGTCTTCAGTGATTGAACCACCTGTCAGTGTTTAAAACCAGTCTTCAGTGATTGAACCACCTGTCAGTGGTTAAAACCAGTCTTCAGTGATTGAACCACCTGTCAGTGGTTAAAACCAGTCTTCACTGATCAAACAACCTGTCAGTGGTTAAAACCAGTCTTCAGTGATTGAACCACCTGTCAGTGTTTAAAACCAGTCTTCAGTGATTGAACCATCTGTTAGTGGTTAAAACCAGTCTTCAGTGATTGAACCACCTGTCAGTGGTTAAAACCAGTCTTCAGTGATTGAACCATCTGTCAGTGTTTAAAACCAGTCTTCAGTGATTGAACCATCTGTCAGTGGTTAAAACCAGTCTTCAGTGATTGAACCACCTGTCAGTGGTTAAAACCAGTCTTCAGTGATTGAACCACCTGTCAGTGTTTAAAACCAGTCTTCAGTGATTGAACCACCTGTCAGTGGTTAAAACCAGTCTTCAGTGATTGAACCATCTGTCAGTGGTTAAAACCAGTCTTCAGTGATTGAACCACCTGTCAGTGGTTAAAACCAGTCTTCAGTGATTGAACCACCTGTCAGTGTTTAAAACCAGTCTTCAGTGATTGAACCACCTGTCAGTGGTTAAAACCAGTCTTCAGTGATTGAACCACCTGTCAGTGGTTAAAACCAGTCTTCACTGATCAAGCAACCTGTCAGTGGTTAAAACCAGTCTTTAGTGATTGAACCACCTGTCAGTGTTTAAAACCAGTCTTCAGTGATTGAACCATCTGTTAGTGGTTAAAACCAGTCTTCAGTGATTGAACCATCTGTCAGTTTTTGTCTGAATGACAGTGTGATTGGTCAGCCGTATCTGTGTTAACAAACCCTATTGTAATTTTCGATCAACATTATTCCCTGTGTTTACACAAATTCACAGGTGAAAGTTAAACTTTATACAGAATTAGGCAACCAAACTTAAAATACACTGTAGCCTGTTTATCAGAAATCTACTGCATTCCAAAGGAAAAGAAAAAAGTGAAAAATACTGCACCACCGATGCAGATTAATAAAAATAAAAGTTTGTCATTGACATATGTCTATGATTTTTAATGCATAAATTACTGGATATATATGTGCTTATACAAAGTGCAAATTTTATTTTATTCTGTTTAAGGCTTATGCTCTTTGGGTGTTGTATGTGGGAAGTTATGCTTCAGTGATGTTGTTGCGGCCTTCACCTTTTCGTAACTCACCTCAGTGATGTCAATGTTATATTAATGTAGAATGTTCATGAGTACATATTTATCGAAATTTACTTAAAAATTTTTTGACAAAACTTGTTACTCTCAAGACTAAAAAATGCCTTCAAAAGACTACTGCTTTAAAAAAAATACTTCTTGTAATTGTATAATATCAGCTGTCTCAGTGACAAAATCTAATTTTCTGTCAAGGCAACCAAGATTAAGTACAGTATACTGGTTTTTTTTTACAGCTCCTGCTGGTGGCGACAGTGGAGGAGCAGAAAATCAACCTGACGATATGATGTTCCAGATGGAAGAGTTATCAGAATCGTCACCGAACCTACACAACTACCTCAAAGGTCAGATGCATTTATCACTATCACACTAGATCATAGTAGGTAATACATTCTGTTCTTATTTAAAACCCCCAGGTGATGGTTTTTAGACTCTATTGGGAATGGTTTGTGTCTCTCAAGAACTGACTGCTGGTAGGACACTTTCCCTGAATTACATGTGGCAGGCCTTCCGCATGTTGTTCAGTCAGGTAGCCGACAGCCTTCGTGCCAGCTTCTTTAGTTGAAACAAAAGATGTTTACTCGTCTGGAACTCTTCATTTTATTTTATTCTCCTTGTTCGTTTGCCCGTTTGAGAACTCTTTTGGCAGAGGTGGTGGTAGGGGTTTGGCGGGGTTGGGAGGGGTAGGGGGGGGGGTGTATGAATTGGCCCCCAGACAAAAGAATTTGGATTCTGCTGATATGTTGCTAATTTTTTGATGTTCTGTAAACATGTTTATCCTCCTCCAATCACAGGGCCCATATCATACCTGTTGTGTGATCAAAGTAAAACAAAAGATCCTGATTTCTAATGTCTGTTTGCAGCATCCCGAACATCTAAAGAAAACATCAGCAGTTCAAAGCGCTGTATCCACCCAGTAAGTCTATAGAAATGTGAAGCAAAAAAATTTGCATTTTTAATTCAAAAATTTTAAAAACTTATTCCAATGTCTCTACTACCCTATACTTTTGTGTTTTCTGTTTAATTTCATTCCTAAACACAAGGCTGACAGTCCTATACTTTTGTGTTTCCTGTTTAATTTCATTCCTAAACAGAAGGCTGACAGCCCTATACTTTAGTGTTTCCTGTTTAATTTCATTCCTAAACAGAAGGCTGACAGTCCTATACTTTTGTGTTTCCTGTTTAATTTCATTCCTAAACAGAAGGCTGACAGCCCTATACTTTTGTGTTTTCTGTTTAATTTCATTCCTAAACAGAAGGCTGACAGTCCTATACTTTTGTGTTTTCTGTTTAATTTCATTCCTAAACAGAAGGCTGACAGTCCTATACTTTTGTATCTTCTGTTTAATTTCATTCCTAAACACAAGGCTGACAGTCCTATACTTTTGTGTTTTCTGTTTAATTTCATTCCTAAACAGAAGGCTGACAGTCCTATACTTTTGTATCTTCTGTTTAATTTCATTCCTAAACAGAAGGCTGACAGTCCTATACTTTAGTGTTTTCTGTTGTAGTACATTCCTAAACAGAAGGCTGACAGTCCTATACTTTTGTGTTTTCTGTTTAATTTCATACCTAAACAGAAGGCTGACAGTCCTATACTTTTGTGTTTTCTGTTTAATTTCATTCCTAAACAGAAGGCTGACAGTCCTATACTTTAGTGTTTTCTGTTTAATTTCATTCCTAAACAGAAGGCTGACAGTCCTATACTTTTGTGTTTTCTGTTTAATTTCATTCCTAAACAGAAGGCTGACAGTCCTATACTTTTGTATCTTCTGTTTAATTTCATTCCTAAACACAAGGCTGACAGTCCTATACTTTTGTGTTTTCTGTTTAATTTCATTCCTAAACAGAAGGCTGACAGTCCTATACTTTTGTATCTTCTGTTTAATTTCATTCCTAAACAGAAGGCTGACAGTCCTATACTTTAGTGTTTTCTGTTGTAGTACATTCCTAAACAGAAGGCTGACAGTCCTATACTTTTGTGTTTTCTGTTTAATTTCATACCTAAACAGAAGGCTGACAGTCCTATACTTTTGTGTTTTCTGTTGTAGTACATTCCTAAACAGAAGGCTGACATTCCTATACTTTAGTGTTTTCTGTTGTAGTACATTCCTAAACAGAAGGCTGACAGTCCTATACTTTTGTGTTTTCTGTTTAATTTCATTCCTAAACAGAAGTGTTTTCTGTTGTAGTACATTCCTAAACACAAGTCTGACAGTCCTATACTTTAGTGTTTTCTGTTTAATTTCATTCCTAAACACAAGGCTGACAGTCCTATACTTTTGTGTTTTCTGTTTAATTTCATTCCTAAACAGAAGGCTGACAGTCCTATACTTTAGTGTTTTCTGTTTAATTTCATTCCTAAACAGAAGGCTGACAGTCCTATACTTTAGTGTTTTCTGTTTAATTTCATTCCTAAACAGAAGGCTGACAGTCCTATACTTTAGTGTTTTCTGTTGTAGTACATTCCTAAACAGAAGGCTGACAGTCCTATACTTTTGTGTTTTCTGTTTAATTTCATTCCTAAACAGAAGGCTGACAGTCCTATACTTTTGTATCTTCTGTTTAATTTCATTCCTAAACAGAAGGCTGACAGTCAAATTCATTCCTAAACAGAAGGCTGACAGTCCTATACTTTTGTGTTTTCTGTTTAATTTCATTCCTAAACAGAAGGCTGACAGTCCTATACTTTTGTGTTTCTGTTGTAGTACATTCCTAAACAGAAGGCTGACAGTCCTATACTTTTGTGTTTTCTGTTTAATTTCATTCCTAAACACAAGTCTGACAGTCCTATACTTTTGTGTGTTCTGTTTAATTTCATTCCTAAACAGAAGGCTGACAGTCCTATACTTTAGTGTTTTCTGTTGTAGTAAATTCCTAAACAGAAGGCTGACAGTCCTATACTTTTGTGTTTTCTGTTTAATTTCTTTCCTAAACAGAAGGCTGGCAGTCCTATACTTTTGTGTTTTCTGTTGTAGTACATTCCTAAACACAAGGTTGGTATAGAGATCACTCCACTCTCCTATGTTCCTGGTGGCCGGATTGAACGCTACCTTGGCAACTACAATTTCTTCTTCATACGAGAGACAACATCTCTCAGGGAGGTTGGTATTCGAGATTAAATGTCCGAAAACTGTTTATCTTCAAAAAATCGGCTTTGTTAGAGGTTACGGTATTGTATTTTAGTGAATATGTATGCTCCTTGTTGTCCAAATAGAAAGTGAGTAATTTAAACTGTTATATAGATTACACAGCCTCTGCATTTCGTTTTTGAAAAAACTTTGTACATGTCAGCTAAAGGGTCAAAACTCAAAAACTAGAGATCTCCTGTTAAGAAATCTGGAGTTGGTTGGTTTTGTTTCTGTCTTTTGCTTAAATAACTGATAACTACCTGTACTGTAAATTAGCACAATTTAAGAAAAATGAAAAAGGTATTTTTTTCACCTCACCTGGCCCAAAGACAGCAATGCTACCCATGGGGCATAGGGGTGTGGTCTAATAGGGAAATAGATGTAAATTTTCTAAATGCCTTTCATCTGGTGAAAATGAATCAGTGAATAAGTCAGGTGATTGATACAGGCCCTATGGGTTTCTTCTTAATATTCTCTAGTTTAGGACCAAAAATTTTATACAGGAAGTAATGGAAACTACCTGGAGGCTCCAGAACCAAAGTCAAGACTTAGCAGTACTGCTTTGTGAATAGTTATCACTTAGATCCATTTTACAGATGGGCGGGGATGGAGGGTTCATGCAGACATTCATCGCAGAGGTCCTGGCCAATGTGCGTGCCAGTGTAGCAGCCCTGGGAGGTAACGGTCTGGTGGCCTACAAGATGAGTCAGTGTGTCCTCCTCAGTAATCCACAGAAAAATCAGGTACGATGCCACAGAATGGTGAGATTGTGTTAGGTTTCATCACTAGTAGTAATGTGGAATAAAACAGTCAACGGTTATCATAATATTCTTTGTCAAATTTTTACATGGGGATGATATACCGATAGGATTTTTTTTTGACACAAATGATTTGGAGTCATTAAAGTTGAAACACAACTCATAAAATCTGAAAGAGATTTAATTAGCTATACATCGCAAGTTGTGATTTGACTTACTAATATATTAAACACATACCAATCAAATCATGGGAAATGATAAAAAAAATTACAGAAAAATAGAAAAGGTGGAGGAACTAATGTTGACATTTGAAATAGAGATAATGCGGTTGTAGTATTCAACAGAGGACCTTATAATGTGGTGAACATAAAATGATAAATAGAGATTCTCAAAATCCAGTCAGGAGTTGTCTTCCTTGTTGTGTTGAAGATGTTGTCAGCATGTTTCTGTTGATAGACGGTCGTTATCAGGACTAGTGATTTTTGTTTCAAAACATAAAGGGATATTCTCCACAAGTTAGGATTTCTTGAGCTGCTTTTGAAGAAAATTGTACAAATTTACCAACTTATAAAGTACTTATGGAAATCATACACCTTAAGTTATTGTTTAAATAAACATAGGATGTTTAATTTGTGAAACTTCTAGATAGATCAGTTTAAAAACTTTCAAGTGAACCTGATTGCATCATTACAGGTTTGCATTGTTATTTGCTGAACTGAATGAAATATTTGTTTAAATTTTACAATTAACAGAAAATAAGCCAAATGAAGTAAGAAAACTGTAACCCCAGCAGAAAATTTAATGAACAGGATACACACTTGTGTATTCATCCAATACTCTGCATAAAATCTGTCATACAAGGATCCTTCATTTCCCGATTTTCTTTGCTTTATTTGTGTTGGCTGTTACAATTTCCAATCAATCTCTCCTGTCCAAACTGGCCACTGGAGAGATAGTTTGATGCTAAAAATAGTTGTAAAAGTCATTAGAATGAGTTTTTAAAAGGTACAATTTTTTTCAACTTAGGTGGAATCTCCCTTGAAGAAAATGAAATGATGTCATGATATGTTGCTGTATAATGCTGACTTGCAATAGCGGTGGTAACGTTGTTTCTGTCATTTCAGAGCCAGTGTTTGATCAATGTCTATGGGGATGCTGTTTGTATTTGTTACGATGGGGAGCCTAGCTGTACATCTGCCTTGATAGAACCCACACTGAAAGTCACAGACTCTCCTCTCATCATACACTCCTGATACAAAATATATTGTCAGATTATAATCATTGTGATATGGAGCAGAGCTGTGTTTCTGCCCTCCCTGATAAAACCTACGGGGAAAGTCGCATACTTTCCTTTCATCAACCAATCTTATTTTTATGCCTCGATTCCGAGACCGCATTGTATCACAGACTCTCCTCATTGTAGATTTCTGATACAAAATTCACTTCTTAAGCTAAATCATCATGATTTGGAGCTGAGCTGTAGGTACACCTGATAAAACTCTTAGACTTTTCTCTGATTCCACATTCATTGTACAAAATACATTTTTGAAGATAAAATTGTAAGCTGTTCATTGAAGACTTTTGTGAACCTGTACCTTTCATTGTAAGTGTTTCATTGATAATTTGGAAACATTTTTAAATCAGTTTTAACATCAGTATTCAAATAATATTGTAAGAGATGGAGCTGCTGATAAATAAATTGTAGATTTTGCAAAGCAATAAAGCAGGATAGAGCCAGAAGGCTCTGTATCCTTCTAAGAATTCTACTGAAGCCTAAAACTACAACATACACATTCTTACTGGACATCGGTTCTTGAAGTTTTTTCCCTCATAGATATTTTTCTCAACTGGCAAAAAAAATGCAATTAGTGTATTAATTGTATGGTGTGATTGTGTTGTTGTCAGTTTTGTTGTTTTTTAGGTAAACCCATGAAAATAAATTAACGTCATATTTTTTTATCAAAACTGCTGGTAAAATTTAAACCAATGACTTGTCATTTTTTGTCACATGTCAAAAGGTTAAATTATTGCTCAAACTTAACATCAAAGGATTTGTGCTGTTAATCATCCTTTTTAAAAGATGTCTGTTATATATTTCCCTGAAATACAGCTCAATAGTGTTCATGCGCTCCTTGTTAAAGTAATTCAAAATATTGTATACAACATATGTTTAGTGTTGATGAACTGCTCTAATGTAGCTTTCATAAAACCAGAATTCCTGTCACAAGTTTTATGTGACAACAGTTTTTCTTACATCAGTGTGAATGTTGGAAGGTGAAACCTGTATTTTATCACTATGACATATAAAGAATTTTCCCTATAGATATAATGTTAATACCTGTTTATTAATGACAACTCCATACAGATTTCTAGTCTGTGAAGATATATTAGTTGCTTACAGTATTGATCTTCAAGTGCAAAAAGATATCGAAATTAAAAATATTTGTGAAGACATCAAACAGAAGAATAATGTCCATACATTGAATTGATATGGAATCATCGTGTTTTTATTGTAAGTATGTAGACACTGTGTTTTGACTCTAGGACTCAGCACTAAGAGGTACCAGGGTAAAGGTATTGTTTAATTAAATGAGATGCTATGTTAGGAAGTTTATCTCCCAATTTAGGATATCTTGTTTTTGCTCAATATTTTCCTTCATTGATTCTGTAGTAATGTTGGCCTTAAAAAGTTTGATTAATTATTAAGTCAAATCCTTCATGATAATAGATATTGTATCAGTTCTAATGTCTTTCGTTCAAGTTTACTATTTATTGTATTTTCCCCACAATGCCGGTCATTCATAGTTTTTGCATTTCAGTGAACTTGCCAACAGGTTGTATTACATTGACATGACTTTAGTTAGAGACTATCAGTTTACATTGATCCATTTAGACAGTTACTTCTTTTAAAATTTCTGCAAGGTTGTGCTAGATAATACAGTGAACTCTGTGTGATAATTAAGTGCTGCTGCATAAAAGCTCAATCTGATATTTTACAGTGAAACCCAGTTAAACTCAGTCTGACATTTTACAGTGAAACCCAGTTAAACTCAATCTGACATTTTACAGTGAAACCCAGTGAAACTCAATCTGACATTTTACAGTGAAACCCAGTGAAACTCAATCTGACATTTTACAGTGAAACCCAGTTAAACTCAGTCTGACATTTTACAGTGAAACCCAGTTAAACTCAATCTGACATTTTACAGTGAAACCAAGTTAAACTCAGTCTGACATTTTACAGTGAAACCCAGTTAAACTCTGACATTTTACAGTGAAACCCTGTGTGATACTAAAGTGTTGCTACATAGAAACTCAATCTGACATTTTACAGTGCAATTTTTGTTTGCTTTTATAACCAAAATTTAAGTATTCAAAAATTGTAAATGTCTCTCAATGAAGAGTAAAGTGGCTGGTTATTTACAAATTTACAAAGATTTGTCATTTTCAAGTATTGGTCATGTACAAGTATTGGTCATGTACAAGTAGTGGTCATCTACAAGTATTGGTCATTTACAAGTATTGGTCATTTACAAGTAGTGGTCATCTACAAGTAGTGGTCATCTACAAGTATTGGTCATTTACAAGTATTGGTCATTTACAAGTAGTGGTCATTTACAAGTAGTGGTCATCTACAAGTATTGGTCATTTACAAGTATTGGTCATTTACAAGTATTGGTCATTTACAAGTAGTGGTCATCTACAAGTATTGGTCATTTACAAGTAGTGGTCATCTACAAGTATTGGTCATTTATAAAGATTGGTCATTTACAAGTATTGGTCATTTACAAAGATTGGTCATTTACAAGTAGTGGTCATTTACAAGTGTCACTTTATATAAATGTGAAAATGTTATTTGTATATAGGGATATCTGTATTACAATACATTTTATGTCTATGTGATACAACAAATAATACACTGCTAAGATTAAAAGTGAATACTGAGGGAAGTATATACAGATTACCTACTGCTGATTCCAAATGGCAGTAGTATATAAACGTTATATTACTTAACTTTTTACCGCTAAAGAACCCTGACAATACAGATTTGTATTTCTAGTCAAATTCTTCTAGTGTTTCATGCTGCTGGCCTCACCTCAGATTTAAAGGATTCAGACTACTAGAGAGTCTGCTAAAACACTTTTGATATTATAGAAATTTTTATATTTAACCTTTTATAATATAAATTGTGTCTGGAGGCATTAAAATTGTTATCACATGTTAAGTATGAGAATATGTCTCGTTTGAGGTGTTTTACGAACCGAAGATCTATATCAATCCCGAAGTCACTACGATTTGAAACTCTGTCTAACAAGGACACTAAACATAAGAGGGACATTCCACCAGGTACTGCCTAGTTTATTTCCTTTTTTAGGGGGAACAGGTAGTTGTATTGTAAATTTCATTATTGTGCATATTAAGTGCTGTGATGTGTTCTTTTGTATTTGTTGTTTTTATTAGTATTGTACATTGTTTAATTGGTGCCAAATTATTTAACAAGTTTTAATCACTGTCTTGTGATGATTTGAAGTAAATATGTTATGAACACAATAGTATAAAAACGATGGGTTTAAGATTTATTAAGGGGGAGATTGAGTGCTCCTAACCATAGTCAGTGGTCAATATGTGTTTGGTTGGATGGTATGTTGATATACTGTGACTAACCTGTATCAGATACCTGTGCTCCTTTCAATACTGTCCTTAAAATTCAAATAAAATCAAAATGTGTGTTTTTATACGCTGTACTGCATAACAGTTTCAGCAAAATTGGTTTTCATTACATTCATTTGAGAATGCACAAGATTTTCAACAATCATGTGTTACACGAGGATCTGACATTTATCTGCAGAGGTCTTGATTTCAAATAGTTTCACAAATTATTGATTTATTAAAAAATTTATTTCATTTGAAGTTTTTTAAGTAGCATAATAATAATAGAGTTGTGATGCGTCATGATTTTGATGAAAAAACATTATGCTGTCACTATCTGTCAGAGTTTCCTCACTTAGGTAAGAAATGGCTACCTACAATAAAAGTACTGAACTTGACCTGTTTTCATTTAGTTTTTACTTTCATATACATATACAGTACTGGTTCTGATGCATCCTGTTTTATCAGTAAGTTTCATATTGTTTGCTATTTCCAACAAGATATTAAATGTATAGAACCCAGTTACCTGTGACCATACATCTGTTTTATGATTTCTTGTCTGTTATCTATGACCATACATCTGTTATATGATTTCTCATCTGTTACCTGTGACCATACATCTGTTATATGATTTCTTGTCTGTTACCTATGACCATACATCTGTCGTATGATTTCTTGTCAGTTACCTATGACCATACATCTGTTATATGATTTCTTGTCTGTTACCTATGACCATACATCTGTCGTATGATTTCTTGTCTGTTACCTATGACCATACATCTGTCGTATGATTTCTTGTCTGTTACCTATGACCATACATCTGTTATATGATTTTTTTTCTGTTACTGTGACCATACATCTGTTGTATGATTTTTTTTCTGTTACTGTGACCATACATCTGTTGTATGATTTTTTTTCTGTTACTGTGACCATACATCTGTTGTATGATTTCTTGTCTGTTACCTATGACCATACATCTGTTGTATGATTTTTTTCTGTTACTGTGACCATACATCTGTTGTATGATTTCTTGTCTGTTACCTATGACCATACATCTGTTGTATGATTTCTTGTCTGTTACCTGTGACCATACATCTGTTGTATGATTTCTTGTCTGTTACCTGTGACCATACAACTGTTATATGATTTCTTGTCTGTTACCTATGACCATACATCTGTTGTGTGATTTCTTGTCTGTTACCTGTGACCATACATCTGTTGTATGATTTCTTGTCAGTTACCTATGACCATACATCTGTCGTATGATTTCTTGTCTGTTACCTATGACCATACATCTGTTATATGATTTCTTGTCTGTTACCTGTAACCATACATCTGTTGTGTGATTTCTTGTCTGTTACCTGTGACCATACATCTGTCGTATGATTTCTTGTCTGTTACCTATGACCATACATCTGTTATATGATTTCTTGTCTGTTACCTGTGACCATACATCTGTTGTGTGATTTCTTGTCTGTTACCTGTGACCATACATCTGTTGTGTGATTTCTTGTCTGTTACCTATGACCATACATCTGTTGTATGATTTCTTGTCTGTTACCTATGACCATACATCATACATCTGACCATACATCTGTCGTATGATTTCTTGTCTGTTACCTATGACCATACATCTGTTATATGATTTCTTGTCTGTTACCTATGACCATACATCTGTTGTATGATTTCTTGTCTGTTACCTATGACCATACATCTGTTATATGATTTCTTGTCTGTTACCTATGACCATACATCTGTTGTGTGATTTCTTGTCTGTTACCTATGACCATACATCTGTTATTGTTTCTTGTGATGACCATACATCTGTTGTGTGATTTCTTGTCAGTTACCTATGACCATACATCTGTTGTGTGATTTCTTGTCTGTTACCTGTGACCATACATCTGTTGTATGATTTCTTGTCAGTTACCTATGACCATACATCTGTTGTGTGATTTCTTGTCAGTTACCTATGACCATACATCTGTCGTATGATTTCTTGTCAGTTACCTATGACCATACATCTGTTATATGATTTCTTGTCTGTTACCTATGACCATACATCTGTTGTGTGATTTCTTGTCAGTTACCTATGACCATACATCTGTTGTGTGATTTCTTGTCAGTTACCTATGACCATACATCTGTTGTGTGATTTCTTGTCAGTTACCTATGACCATACATCTGTTGTGTGATTTCTTGTCAGTTACCTATGACCATACATCTGTCGTATGATTTCTTGTCAGTTACCTATGACCATACATCTGTTGTATGATTTCTTGTCAGTTACCTATGACCATACATCTGTTGTGTGATTTCTTGTCTGTTACCTGTGACCATACATCTGTTGTGTGATTTCTTGTCTGTTACCTGTGACCATACATCTGTTGTATGATTTCTTGTCTGTTACCTGTGACCATACATCTGTTCTGTACCATACATCTGTTGTGTGATTTCTTGTCTGTTACCTGTGACCATACATCTGTTATATGATTTCTTGTCCGTTACCTGTGACCATACATCTGTTGTGTGATTTCTTGTCTGTTACCTGTGACCATACATCTGTTGTGTGATTTCTTGTCTGTTACCTGTGACCATACATCTGTTCTGTACCATACATCTGTTATTTGATTTCTTGTCTGTTACCTATGACCATACATCTGTTATTTGATTTCTTGTCTGTTACCTGTGACCATACATCTGTTCTGTACCATACATCTGTTGTGTGATTTCTTGTCTGTTACCTGTGACCATACATCTGTTATATAATTTCTTGTCTGTTACCTGTGACCAATTTGATAATTATTGCAATGATTATGAATTTGATCCCCCACTCGTCCCTCCTGAAACAACTGAACAGCCTTGAGCTGACCTTAGATTAATGTCATGTCATTACCGTCTGACCTCAAGTTTTTAATAGACAAAAAATATAAAGTATTTGTCATTGCCACCAGAAGGCCCAAACTGGCACTCCTCCTTTCGCAGAGATCTTTTTGATGTTTGTCAATTTGTAGTCTGGAGAACTTTGTAAGCAGTATACTCTGTATTTCTGTATAACCATTTCTCTATAGTTACCAAGAAAATATCACAGAAAAATTGTACCAATAACAAAGGTACATCTAGGATACTAGCCTGATGAGTATAGAAAGTTTTGTAGAGATCTGTTGAATGCTTGTCAAGCTGTAGGCCGGAAACCACCTTTTGACAGATGACACACAGAGCCCAATTTTATACTCCACACCAAGGCATTTCATGGGGGATAATTGCAACAGAAATTCTTTCTCTCTCTCTTTTTTTTTGCAAATTTTTCAGTTGTATTTATAGCACCAGCATTATAACTGGAAAAAAGTCTTAAAAAATGGAATTTTGCAAAACTTCATTTAACCTTTAAAAAGATAGGGAAAATAGAAAATTAAAAATTAGAAAATTTACCCAAAATTTCAATTCCAATCACTACTTTTTCATGTTATAATGCAAATCACACCACCAATCTAGAAAGCATAACAGAAATTTTGCTGCACTCAGTTTTATATTACACCATAAAAAGGCTTGAGCTACTGTCTCAGTGGTATCTTCTACACTAAACAAATCTGAGTTGATGTTGACCCATTACTAATTACATATAAAAAGAAAACAACTGAGAAGGCGTGGTCATATTTTTTTTATTTACAAACAATAGCAGTCAATACATACAAATATAGTATAAAACATAATGGATTGTAAAGTATAACATTGTTGACCTGCAACAATGTTTGAATTATATTAGTTACTAGTAACTTCTCAGTAAGCACAGCATCCTTTGTCGATACCCCAATATCATTTATCATGGAGTAATGATGATAAGGGAAGTAGGTACCTATATTACAACTTCCATCATATAAATCGCTGAGAATCTTTTGAGATGTCCCTGAAATAAATATGAGGAAGTCTGTTTTTATACCATCTATATCAATATTGCTACATGTGTTCTCAAGTACTTGTATTGTAAGCACCATCTCATATGTAAACAACTTTTAAGTAAATTTCTCCTCATCTCGAGATTACCTGTCAACATTATCAAGAAAACCTGTATTGCCTGTTCCAGTGAATATTACAAAATATCTTAGGTAGAAAGTTGTCAAACCATAGGATTATTATCATAAATTCTACTTTACATGTTCTACCCTTGCATTTGTCATGATCTTGAAAGAATAACATTTTATCACAATTATTGGTATTATTCAGTTTACACAAGTGCTAAAGTAGCCGGATATAAACTGCTGTTTTAGAGGCTATACCAACATACCATCCTATGGCTGGTTGATAAGATAAGTATCTTGTTTACTACAAGACCTATCTAGTTGCCTTTGAGGTCACACACTGCTGCCGTCGTCTGGATGCCAAACCATATTCTGCCTCTGGGGTGTCCAGAACAAGAATTCTGGCCCCTCGTGCCCCACCATCTTTAGGTGTTGAGCATACAGTCATCTCAAAATATTTCCGCAAAAAATATCTTGACTTCAAATTAGATTTCAAATCCTCATGATCATCCTCACTGGCTGAATCCTCAACGTCACTCTCACAGACCTCGTCATAGACAGAGCTTTGCATGCAGTCATCTGTAGGTAAATTTGCTGTCACACCAAACAGTTCATTTGGTTTCCCATACTCAGAAACATGCCCAGGTCCTTTTCCACTGCCTGGAAATAGTTGCTTCACTGGAGTCTGTAAGCTTACAATATTTTGCTTACTGAATGACGGTGTACACACACCAACAGCACAAACAGATCCTGGTAAGGGTGAGAAGTCAGCAGTTGTCAATTCTAAAGAGTTGTCTCCCCTATTCAAATCATCTCTCTCAACACTTCTAGTGCTTAGCCTGGAAGTTTTCCGTCTAACTTTCCGTTTCAAACCTGGTGAATTTTCACACTCATCATCAACCCAGGATGTTCGAGACTGTTTTCTAAATTTCCTCTGATGTTTAGAAACATTAGGGGAGACATTTTCCTCAATGCTGACTTCCTCTAGGACTGATATACTTGTCCGTACTTTCTTGTTTCCCACAAACTCCAGAGATTGATATTTATTTCCCGTATGACCTTGACCCTTCACCTGGTTATGACTTGCTGACTCGCATGTACATTTCGTCTTGTATCCTTGGTGATCTACAGGAGACTTGCGTCGCCGAAGAGTTCGTCGGTTGCATTGACCCCGAGACTGGACAGTACTACTGAACTGTGGTGACACCTGAGAAAGATAATATAGAGATGAATGTAGTTGAGTTGTATTTTGCTTTTTTTTAATTCAATGTTCTTATATCAAAACTTCCCTGGCTATCATGAAAATTCAAGACAATTTTGATGGGACACTTAAACTTGGTTTTAGTTATAATGTTCTAATATAACTTCCTTAAAAAAATCTTAATTTCATGCAGTATTTTCACTGACTTTGTATGCATAATTTTTAAAATGTCATTATAGGTACAGGAATAGATTATGATATGTACATACATTACTCCTGGAAACATAGGTTAAAATGAAACATCTTTTGGCTTAACAACAGTGGCTTCATCAATGTGTAATCTTAAAAAAAAATACACATAGAAAAAACGTTACATATAGGGCTCCTGAACTTGTGATGATGGAAGATAACTAATTTGTTTAAATTCATCTATATGTACATCCAAGATACTCCAGTGCCTATGATCACTTTCACTCTCTGCTCCCCTGGAACATGTCAAGGAAAAATTGAAGGTTCCATGTGCAACATGTTGTGAACAATACTAGCTTGATCCTTTGATGAACATCAAATGAATCTTGAGGTCACATAATGGTATATTGTAATGGCTTTGAAGTTGGGTGTCGCTCCTTTGTTAACTTCAAAGAAGGGTATCAGCCAGTGATTGGTCAGTTTTTTCTCCTAGAACATGCTTTAGATCAATCAAATTACATCATTTGAGCTTTCAATTTGCCAGGAAATGTTGCAAAGGTGCAGAGAGCAAAAGTGATCATAACCCCTGGAGTATCGAGGATGGTATCTATAACAATAATACAAAGCCAAGATGGAAACAAAGCTTTTAAGAGGTCAGATCAAAATTGTTTATAATATTTAATTCTTAGCTTCATTAGAAGTATTGCTAAGTGTTTGTGATATTACAGCCTTACCCAGGATGATTTGTCTAGCTGGTCCACAGGAATTGTCTCAGCAGTGCGTGGATGGAGAGCACAACACACAGGACTTGGCACATTGCGTTGATTTGCGACAGGGCTCTCTGTAAATATCAATGGTGGCCTCCTATCCCTGTTTGACTTCTTGCGTTTCCGAGGCATTCTTCAGAAAGTTGAAAAAAAAAAAAATGAACTGTGTTACATTTTGTAGTTCATCTTGCATTAGCACAAAGTTAATTGATTTTAAACTGAAAAAATAAGCAAATGCAGAAATCCAAACAAAAAGTCCATATGGCCAGTTACTATTTTCAGTGTACATGCTCAGTATCCTGAAGGCCTGGGGTCACTGGTCTCGAAGTATCTGCATGCTGAGATGAATGGCTAGTGCCTACTAATTTTTGTTCAAAATTAATTACCTTGACCTACTTTAAACGTCAAAGAGGTAAAAAAAGTTTACTGAAGTATTTAATAAATAACTTTTAAGTAATGAAGATTCAAAGTTTGTGATATCTGGCCAGTACCATGCTACATAATGTAAATATTTGATGAATGACTTTCAAAGTGTGTTAGTAATTTACCTTGACCCACTTTTGAAGGTCATAAAGGGTCATGGATGCTGAACCAGATAATGTATCAGCAGTTTAAGAATGGATGGTTAATTCTCTAAAAAAACCCAGACGTAACGGTATTAAGAACTTTGAAGAATAGTTACAAATCTGGTATATCCCTAAGAGACGATGCATCCTTTAACTTTTCTTTTGTTGATTGAGTCCAGTGTACAGGATTTCATAATAACCTGTACTTGAATTGAGCTCCACTGTGTCATATATTATACATTAGATAGATATACAGAATAAAACTATTGACACAATATGGAGAGATACGAAACTAGGCCCAGTGGTGACTTCTCTGGCATTAGCTTTTGTGTTCCTGCACTGAGCTGTGAAATCCCCTCTTCTCCTTGTTGCTACCTAACCTTATTTAGCTATGCTCTATTCATTGCTTGCTGGCCCAAACACAGTTTTTTATCCAGTGTGAACTGAGAAGTGAATTTCATTTTCGTAGCAAAAGAAAAAAACACTAACAAATTAACATGACTTATCAAAAAACTGACATGTGTCACATGGAAAATTACTCAGCTGTAAAATGCTATCTATTTATAGAAGATTTTCTACATATTTTTGGCATAGAGTGGTGGTATTTCAGCTGTGAATAGCTTAAACATGCATTTTGTTATATAAATATCAAAAGTTAGCAGTAATTATTTGTCAGAAAGTTTAGCACAATCAATTTGAGTTTGAGTGATATATACGTCTCTGGTTAATTTGAATAGATCAGTTATAGACTTTTAGAGAAAAATGATTTATAAACACGAACCAGTTAACTTATCACTGCAAAGATATATTGGCAAAGACAAACGCCTACAAAATGCAGTCCAGCAAGAAACATATCATGATTTACATGTGCCTCTATAAATGATGATAACGCTTACTCGTATATAGTCAACGTACATTCAGTATAAATAACGCCTCCTAAAAGTTCCCGAAATAAGCAAATAAACATTGTAAGTTACACTTATTATAGGACTAAGGACACGCTGTACAGCTTCTGTACACATTATCATATTGGACTACACAGTTTTAACAGAGCTAATTACCAGCACGTTTACATCAACCGAATATGATTATTTTCGCGATCTATTTAAAGGCTTGATATGCCACAGTCGCTATGCAAAATTATCGAACTATCTCGTAATGAACACGATGTCACAACTTTGTGTGCGAGCCTACTATCATTCTCGTGAACGGTGGTCATAAGCCGACAAATCTACATAAATAAGTCGTTTTTCATTTTAGAATGGACAGATGTTCGGATGTCTCTTTTATTGGTTTATTATACGTATGCTTAGGATGCCTAAAGGTGAATCAACAAACCTGCCGCGAAGACGTGCCTAGACTCATTCACTAAAGTTTGTTTTCATTCGCCGCCATGATGAATCCATGGAAGTTATAAGAGTAGCGATTTCATTGGACAGATATTTATATTTGACCAATGAACTAGAACGACACAAGCAGGTGTTCGGTAAGAGCTGTCGGGAAATCTCACGAGATTGCATTTCCAGTTATTTGATTGGTCGATTCTTTTAAAGCCTCAAAATTCAAAAATGGTTGACGTGCCTGCTTGGGCATGCTTGTGTTGTGTATGAAGCCAAATATTGTTTCGTCTATTGTTATTGCTTGTATTGTTTGTACAAGCATATGACTCGATTTGAATTGTTATATCCTTAATGACGAAGAAGTTACAAAACTTACGAAAGCTGCGGCAGGACAATTTTACATGGATGTTCAGGTTAGTTTTGGTCATTATAAAATAAATGTTTTTTTTTCACAACAAAATCATCACAAGAAGTAAATAAACCTGTTTTTTGTCAATTCATCAACACATCTGTTTTCTCATTGATCATTAGCCAATATTTAAACCTGATTTTTTTCTTCGTCTTACCATATGTTGTAAAAGTGAATATCCATTGTTTTCAAACTAAACCGTAAACACGTACGGCAAATGTAGCATGTCGGTCTAATGCATCATAACCAAAACAATACTTATTCATTTTGTTATTTTCCAGATGAGGGTCATATCTGTTTAACATTAAATCACAAATGCAAACGAAACATGATTTTCACAGAGGAAGTGGATCCAAGCCTCCTTGTATGGATGTTTACAGAGGGAGACAGAAAACCACCTTAGGCTTGGCACAGGGAACTCGACAGGTGGTACAAGAAGACGGAACAAATTACATTGTTATTGTTAACCAGCATTCACAGCAAGCAACAAAAGCACAGATACCAACAGCAGAAATGCTTTTAAAGACAACCAAACTTACCACAGCCCCTCAATTTGTTCTTACTGAAAACAAAAATAAAGTTTTGGGAACAAATACCAATGTCACTCAGGGAAAAGTTTGTCCTGTAGATGTGAAACCTCAAAGCAGAACCATATCTCGATGCAAAGGACACTTTGGAAATGACAGGAAAGAACACGTGAAAATCAATTTTTCAAATTTGGGGTTTGATAATTATGACAGTGCTTCTTCATCAGTGAATGTTTTCAAAGAGGAATCTGAAGTAAAGGAATGTACAGCAGCTGTTAAGTCAATAGATGAAGGATACTCAGAATCAATCATGACAGTTGAAAGTTTTATTCAACACCAACATCAAGGTTTAAACTTGGATGATGCACAAGAAGTGAAGAGTCCTTATAATGTATCAAAGTCTACCTACACCTCTTCCTCCCATATTGATCTTTCTGGGTCGTCTGGATACCAATCAGCTGGAGGTTCCAGTTGGCTGACCAGTCCGACGCCTTCTGATTTAGCATCACCAAGCCAAGACATTGCTGCAAGACAAGTGATACTTATCTCACCTGGTCCAAATGGTCCCAGTCGAGGTTTAGGTGATCAAAGCAATAGTGGATCAGTTGTGTCTAGTCGGGAATCCTCAAACTGCTCTATAACATCACCTGTCTCCTCGTTAGCATGTAATCTTCAAGGAACAGCTTTCTTTCAGTCTCCAGTTGGAGTTTCCCCAGTCCTCTCACAAATACAGCATGATTTGGGAAAGCCTCTTTCCAGCTCTACTCCTGTTGAAACTAAATCCACTTCATTGTCTAGCATAAATACATCAACAGGAGCTTCTCCAATTCCAAACATGAACATTCAGAAGTCAACACAGGTTGTCCCACCTTCATCATACCTCCCCTTAGGCAGTAAGGCTTCTGCAGCAAAATGTCTGAAATCAATGAACATTGTTTTGCCCAATTTGAATCAAATACCAAAAACAAATTCTAAAATGACAATTATTGAAAAGGGCATCAAACAAGAACCCCCGGAGCCACCTGATCCTCAAGCGGGGGAGGTAGTTATTCACATAAACATCAAGGAACAACAGACTACAGTCAAGATGGAAAGTGACCGATCTCGACCAAGCACGCCTCATCACCTGACAGAGCCTCAGTCTCCTGACATGAGCAATACACAAGGTAGTGATCTAAGTTTACAACGCTATTTCTAATGTGTCAGATGTTGTTACTTAACTGTGCCAAACTTATCTCGGCACATTTTTAGGGATTTGATGTAACAGTTCACTAGTTCTACCATACTCAATTGTAACATAAACTGGTACATGTATATTGATCAGCAACACAATATGTATGTTTTGTTGAACTGGCATATAAAAAATGGCATTTTAATACAATTTTGTCTATGAAATGTAGGAATTCATCAATTTGATAAAAACTTATAATGTCACTCTAGTGATATTTTAAATCATATCATTGCTAGTGATATACCTTTCATACATTTGACCAAGAATATTTTTGCTTTCTGGTCCCTGTGTTGAAATTTGCAGAATATCGGGTTCCAATATAAATGGAGCATTATGTTAATTAAGTTGATTTCCATCAAATAATTCCTGAGCGCATTTCTGATTTTCCGTAATTTGGTATAAAAAACAGTTTTGTAAGCAATTCTTATCGGGTAACAGCAAACATTGATGGAATATAACATATAGCAGCCTATTTGAATGGCTTCTTTTTGTCTAGGAGAATGTCAAACTATCTGATTTCAAAGTGTGCATTATTATTTCCGAAACTTTTCTGATGATGACTTCTTTTATGTTTGGAGTGCAGCTTTTTTTTTCATTCATTTTCCATTTAATATGTAGTAAAATATTCACACTCGTAAAAATATAGACATTCTATCATACTTGTGAAATAGATACTATGTCAAATAAGAAATGAATACAGTTTATATATGAGGTACTCAAAGGCTGTTTTGTAGTAAAGGTACCAGTTGTATGCTCCATTCATTATAATTTAAGTAAATTCTAATGAATAATATTTTGTATGTTTTGTACTTAACATAAGCTGATTATTTTTTTTAAATTTTTTTTTCAGACTGCTTAAATAATTCTCTCACGAACATGCACTGGCTGAAAGGTATCCAAGGCATCAATGAGCCAGTTCAGGGCAGTCCCAGGATAGCCCCTTCTCCTGTAGAGACCCCCAAAGGTGTTACCTCAAACCCTTTACAATGGCGGTGCCTCAGTATGTCAGATGTAGAAAAGGTGTGTAAAGAAACATCCCACAGCACATTTATGAGGCCAAACAAAACATTTTTTCTGTCTACTGTAACCTTACCTACCCTAATCTCTCTCTCTTAGATAAACCATATAAAACTATTTATTTTGAAAATTGCCTACCTACATACACTTAAGTTATAGAACATTTTACAGAAAACATATATTTCTTTGTTTGGCCTGATGTTTTTGTAAATTCGTCATACAGAATAAGATTGAAAATTTACCTTTCAAGGTCATTATTTTGGACTATGTAAACAGATTTCACCAATGTTTATCATGTTGAGCATAATTCATTATCCTGACAACAACCTGTATTTAAGACTAGGAGAGTGTCCTCCTTACTTAACTGTGAAAGGATAAACAGGACCTTGAACATAACTTGTTACTAAATAAACATGGACCGTTTTGAAATGCTGTTGACAAAGTACATGTTCATACAAATCATAGATATTTTCCTTCTCATGCAGATTGCCAGGGAGTGTGGTCGCCATAAAAGGCCACCATTTTCATACATGACATTGATACAGATGGGTCTGAACTCGCGAGAGGACAAGCGTATGACCCTGAGGGAGATCTGTCATTGGATTGAGGACACTTTTCCCTACTATAAACACACTGCGAAACCTGGCTGGAAGGTTGGTGGGAATACAGAGTCCAGTACCTGTATACATATTAAACTATTCTTTTCAGCAATTTGCTATTTTGATATGAAAATTGACTTTTTACTGTGATATTTATCTGTTGCATCAAGGGGTTTTAAAATGTTAATGAATCCCATAGGAACTAATGTAGTGGGATTCCACCCCCAATTTTACACAAATTCAACATATAATCATTAGTGATTATCTTGACAATGATATAGCTGGAGATGAACAGGAAAACGTTCTTGAAATCTAGAATAATATTTAATTGCTTTTAGCACTTATCAAATATATCATTGTTTTTAGAACTCCATACGCCACAATCTGTCTCTGTACAGTATATTTGAGAGGGAGAAATCCAAAAAGCATGGCTCCCACTGGACAATAAGGGATGATTGTCCTGAAAAGTCAAAATCAGTACCAGCCAAAGATGGACTTCGCAAAGGTAATGGTTCTTTTGTCCAATGTACCAATGAGTGAAGCTAGAGTTACTTCCCTTGTATGTGGATGTGTAGGGTTGATATTTCACATTTGGATTTTTACCAGAATAAAAAAAAAACAAAATTAATTTGTATGTAATCCATGGTTCAAGATGAAAATTGTTGTCGGTGTCAACCTGAATGATTCATCTAACAAGGTTGATTGGTCCTTCCTGAAGCTGAACAGAGCATATTTACCAAATCATGAATACCTGTTAGATAAACTGGTAAAGTACTGTTGGGTATTGAGAAGATTCTCTGGGTCTGCCTGGTCTGATGCTTCCATCTGTGATGGTACAAGTCAAAAGTGGCTTGTTTGTGTCAATAATCTTCATCTTCTTGTACGGAAAAAGCTGAAGAGTTGATGATAACTAATGCAGTGTTATTTGTTTCTATTGGGTGGTCATGTGACTTAGTAGTAGCACACTAGCCTTTCACTTAGACATCCAGGGTTTGTTCCCTGAGCAGACATGAAAAGGTATGGGAGTCGCCTATCCAACCATGTGGATTTTGTCAGAGTAAGGTTTCCTCCCACAATTAGACCACTCGGTTGCTTCTGTACATGCCAACAAGAGTGATATATATAAGCTGATAGATTGTTTCGTAATTGTTGTAATATAGTTTATATATATGAACTCAGAAATGACACATAGGAGTAATCAGGGGCAATGAAATAAATGTTGCTTTTATCAGGGATCAAGGAGGCATGTAAACTTGTAATGCATATAAAATACAACCACTGAATGCTTCCTAAAAGGTCTTTATGTTGTTATTTTTAATTTGTGTCCATTTCCTGTAATCTGTATCTATAACTTGCATGTCTCACTTTAAAATACTTGTATTAGGATACATGCACCGCAGTAGTTTCAGTCACTGTGATTAATTGAAAGTTTTTAAATATGCTTCATATTGTAAGAAAATATACCTTTATTTCTTTGGCACATCAAACATATTGATCAATGTACCACTGTGTAAGTGATCCATCCCAAATTTATTACAGGTGCTGGTCAGTTGGGGATTGGAACTATGCTTCCCATGGCCATTCCAACATTCTTACAGCAGTCACATGGGCCAAAAATAGCACTACCCCTTAACACTGCTGTAACTGACCGATCTAAAAAAGGTAAGAAAGTAAACAAGCCCTGTTTTTGTTATGTGTTGTCAGTTACAATAAAGTCTTTATGATAATGTTCCTTGAACAAGTTTAGGAACTAAAATAACATCATCGGAATGAAATGGAAATTATCTTCAGATGAAACTTCCACATAGAAGCAGTATGAGTCTTAAAGATATAGTTGTGTGTAAACAATGTGTATATTATTCAGGTCCACAGCCTATTCTGCCGAGACCAATGGCAGTGTCTCAGACACCGCTGCAGACCTATGCACTCATCCCCATACAGAACGTGGGTCAGGGACTCCAGCAGGGCCTCCAGATCCCACCCACTTCTCAGGGTCAACCAATGATCATTCAGCTAGCTAAATCTGGCCAGGGCTTGGCTAAATCAGGCCAGAGCCTAGCACAACACTCAAATCCTGGTAGGTATTTTAATATTGAGGCTCTAGATTCTTCATTTACATACAAGTATTCATTTATCCACTTTACTGAAATGACAATCTTGAGTTTGATGATTGGGATCTTAGGTTGCAAACTGCAATTTGGTTATTCATGAAAGAGCAATGGAGAAAATTATTAAGTTTGGAAAATTGTTTACATTTTCAATCTTCACAAAGAAAAAACCTTCAATATGATTTTAAAGTCTTCACATTTAACATAATTTCTTTCCTAACACTTATCTATGAGTGATGTTGTTTTAGAGGGAACACTTACCAACATAGCAATAAAGATGTCAATCTATTACCGGTGTCTGGAACCTTACATGTATATTGACAAATATCAAGTTATATTCCATGTATTTGACTCGAGATACAGACAATGTATGGTTTCTATCTAAATATTTATTCCTTATGTTATTGTCATCAAATTTCATAACATTGCCTTGTGTACAGATTTCATAACATTTCCATAACAGCAAAAAGATATCACTTTTAATGAAAAGATGAATTGTGTCATCTCTATACGATCCTTGTATCTATTATCGTAAAACTTCTCACTTTAACGAAAACTTAAATATTTTATATAAGTTACATTTCAGTCATCTGCGTAAGTTTGTTGTCATTATTTTGAAGACCTCATTTCCTGTCTGTCTGTTGTGAAGTTTAGGTGTGCCTTCCCCTCTGTGATATTGCATTTTAACTTGCCGGTAAAACAAATGCTATTTCATTTTTTGACAGAGTCCCCATTACTTTCTCCGTTGGTGCCAAACATTGAAGAGAAGCAATCCTGTACGCGCATTAAGAAGAAACGATATTCCAACATAGCCCCGAAGGAGTCTTCATTGTCGGCATCCTCTCCTAAACAATCCATCAGTATCGTACGTCAGGCTTGGATTGATTCGCAGAACAATAGCACTAGTGATGACAGTGATACAAGTCGACTGCGAGACATAAAGTGTAGTAGCTCATCTTCACACACCCAATCTGGTGCCAAGAAACCTAAGTTGCGACAAAGTCTTCCAAAGCCCAAGATTTACATGCGCACCACACCACCGTCTCGTAAGGGTAAAGCAAGAAGGAAACAGAAACTTGTGCCGAAGGAGCGGGAGCTGATGGCCGACAGTTCTGATGAAGAGTTGGAGAACCTAGAGCAGGAAGATCCATTGACCAATGTTTTATCCTGTAGTGACAGTACAACTTTATCTACGTCTACACCTCTAAAAGTCTGTGGTTTTCCCTCTCCTCAAATGCCTTCACCAATTGTTGGCTTAACTCCACTTCGTAATAGCGGACTTCTGGACTCTAGCTTCTTGGAGTGCTTGAAGGACTCGGATGCTGAATCCAAGGGCTTTTTGATATCTCCCGATATTCGTTGTGCAAAAAAGTTACCACTTGGGCAAAACAGAACTCCTCCCAACTCCTCAGTGTTAGATTTGAACTTCTCTTTTTCACAAACCCCCTTACGTTGTGATCCTGGCACAGACTTCGGAGGAGGCGACCATAACCAAAGTCTTTCAAAATTCTTGGCCGAGTTTCCAATTGACACAAATATGATGGAAGATGGACTTCCTGTAGACATTTCTAACTTAAATTGGAGTATCGGAGAACAAGACCAGAGTCCATTGGGAGGTAGCTGATTCAGGCCTGTTCTAGGGAAAAAACTGATTCAGGCAGGTTCTTTTCAGGAACATCTTACGTATGCTTGTCAGCTGGTCCAGGCACAACTGACAAAGTAGTAACACATTCTGTTATAGAACAGAGCTTAAGGCATGTAGAGCACAAGTAACAAAGCAGTGATATAAAGAACAGTTGATTCAGATGTATCTTTCTAAAGAATGGCCTGTTGATTCATGTATGTCTGAAATATCCATTGAACATCTGATGCAGGCATGTCAGGCGCATTTTTATTTGAAAATATCATGACCGAAGTCCAAAATTTGTATTACTATGTTGTAAAATCATGTTTGAGACGTGGAGGGAGAGAGTGATTTTATCTGTAAAATGCAACAGAAAATCTGTATAAACACACACATGTTCACACTTCTAGACCTAGCACAAGCTTTAAAAGCAACTTCTTTAGAGAAAAAAATGAGTACATCTTTAAAATTTTGAAGGGTTTTCAAATTTTTATCTAAGAATACTAAGTTAGCATCACCTATGACCAACAAAACATTTATCTACTTTATTTTTTCTGGCTCTCTGTTTTTCGCAGATTTGGTCATAAAATACAAGTTGGAAAAAAATTGAACCATTAAGTTCTTTCTGTCATGTATATCACATAAACATGTTTTTAATACAGAGATAAATCACATCACATCAAAGCTTTTTAAGAAAAGTACACTGATGTGATCTTGATTATACTTGAAGCACAGTATGTATATATATATTTGTCTTTTCAAAACATTATGCAGTAAAAACACATCTGTACGTGCTGTGGAGATGTCATTTACTTTCATTAAAGATCCAATTAATGTATGCATATACATATACATGTACAGAATAATGATGAATATTTGTAGGATGGGGTGGGATTTTCATTGAATTTGTGGCAACTGTCATAAATTGATATATCCAAGAGGTGACAATTTATGACTTGGAAAAGGAAAGTTATGTTTGATGAAGACCCACGAAAAGATAGATTAAGAACCACTTCTCTGATGAAGTAATGAAATTATATATCCTATTTAACTCTTAGCCTGATTTTCACAGCCACTAGTCCACATATATGTAATTTGACTGAGAATTGTTCAAAAATAAATTGACAGATGTACATGAAATGTTTCCTTTGTACAACATGTATACAATATATTAAGTGTTTTTACAATCACACAGTGACTTATAGTGGATAGAATGCATTATCACTAAACTTGCAGGATTTCTAAATTATGAACACACTCTTGGTCTGGCTATCAGAAATATAAATAAATTGTACATAACACTTCTTTAAACTTCTTGTCGACAAAATGTTCAACCTTCAACTCAAGTATGATAACTTGGGTCATGCCAAAAAAGTGTTGCTTCAAACTTTAAAATGATCCTTATTTTTGCCACCTTTATGGGGATCATTAGCTGTGTAGATTTTTATCTTGCTTCTGAATGTGTAGACGTCCCATTGTGATTAGTGATATTCCATAGACAGACTTGCAATGTATCCAGATTGTACCATACATTTTCCAGTATTTGGTTATAAGCCCCCACCATGCTACATCTGTAGTGTTTACTTCATCTTACATTCGAGGACACCTTGTGTTATCTTGATTTGTCAAGTAATGTTTTGTTAAGATTTGTATAAAACTCAGGTGTTACATGTAATTGTGTATAAAACTCTTCTGTTGTTATGGAATACAAACATACCCTGTGTATGTTGACCGAGATTTTCCGTCACAATTGATCGTGCCTTGTGACCTTAAATTATTAAAATAATTTTACAGATACATAAGATGGTTGTCATTTGATTTTATTGTGTGATTGAGCCTGTTTGTTTATAAGGACAAACAGGTTTTTCAGGTCTTTGAATGTAACAATTCAGACATAAATGGAAATTGACATGTGAATATCATAAACGGTCCTGAAATCTTGACAGAAAGCTGAAGAAAATATATATGTAGGGCAGAGTCAGGGAGAGTGGGGCAGCATTGTCGGAGAGGGTGGGGCAGTGATGTAGGTGAGGGTTGTGCTGTGATTTTTTTGGGGAGGAGGAGCAATGTAGGGGAAGGTGGGGTATTAATTGAAGGGAACTAGAGACAGAACTGTAGGAGAGGGTTAGGAATTAATGGAGGTTGGGATAGTAATGTGGGGGTAAGATGGGTAGCAAGGGGACAAAGCATAGTTTGTCATACAAATGACAAAGGAAAACTTCTCCATGTACATACATACAATGGAGTAGGATTTGAATTACTAGTGATAACTTGATTTTATGCTAATTGTTATAAAAATTTTCTGTTTGCTTTTCAGTATTCATAATATGGCTTGTATAATCAGTCAAAATTATGTTTTGAAACTAAAAGCATCATAAATACTCACGGAACTGTTTTATATGTACTAATCACAGACACCAACACAAATGATGAGGATACTTACGATTCATAAAACACCACTGAATAGACGCATGCTCCTTGCACCGGGACATACGCCGCAAACTCAAGTTCAGCACAGTTCACTTACAAGAAATTTTCGCTGGTCCCTGATTGGCTTGTTATGCGAGCATTTTTCACTACCAGAAATTGTAAGCTATTGTTTCTGGTTGTCCCTTTTTAGGTTTAGCTGGACTAAATAAAGTCTGCTTTTGACTCAATATGTTAATCTATTATGTGAAAATATTCTGATAGTATTTAATTATTTACACAGATGCACAGAAAAATAATGACTGTCAGTACAGTATATTGTATATACAGAACCAATCTAAAACATAAATAATAAATAGGTAAATAGATAAATAAATAGGTCAATAAATAAACAGGTAAATAGATAAATAAATAAATAAATAGGTCAATAAAGAAAGAGTTTAAAGGAAATATACAGAGCTGTAATTCAGTCTGTATATAGATTAATACAAGACTTGAACTTTTCAATATACACGGCACTTGGAGAATGTGTCTACTAAATCAAATGATACGCATACATATTGAAATACAACAATGTCGCTAGATACCAACCCAAATGTTTCAACATGTTTGAAATTGACAGGTTCTTGTGAAATGTACCCTCTTTGGAACTTGCAACACATTTCCAGTGACTTGCTTATCAATTCTGATAAACAGAATTTTCTTATCCAATGTTTACATGTTTGTTTGTATCTTATTGGCAGATAAATCCATAAATATTTTTTTCAAGAAGTTCTTCGCTCATTCCTCATCTTTGGGAATTCACACTTCATAACCAGAGGAAACCAACCAAGTTTCTGCTGTAAAATGAGCTAAAATACATGAATCCATGTATTATTGAGTCCAATAAAAAAACAGAAACGAAACCTGTACACCACCATTTTGTCTGTCATTACAAGCATAGATCTGATATGCTTGGCACATTAATTCAGCCAGTTTAGTCTGTCCACTAAACAAATCGACTCTACAACACAAGAACAAGTGACCTGAAATAACAGTATGGGCTAGTAAGCTCCTTATACTAAGAAGAAAAAACTTGAGCCATTCTGAGCATTCATGTTCTATGGGGTCCAATATGTTAAAATGTATGCTAAACTTTAAAGATGGTGTGAACTGTAGCCCACTTAGATGGTTAGCGATGCAAGATGTAACGTTTAATGGAAAGCATTAACGAACAGGCAAGCATGCAAGCCCATTGGGCCTCTTGTATTGGGTGTTCGTTTGGGCAGACAATCCTCTGTAAATATCTATAGGTTTTATTATTATGCAGTGCACTTGGTTGTGGTCCCACTTGGTCACACTATCGTCCCTTTATCTTATTGAAGTTTGAGGACAGTACATCAGAGTAGTGGTCTAACATTATCAATGTCTGCATGGAATCTTAAAAGCACGATAGATGACAAAGAACTTGAATTCTGTGGAACAAAATAATCTTGGCACCCAACATTCTATGATTTCATTGGTTCTAAAAGAGTTTGGTCTTTCTTGTTCTTTTCTCCTAATCAGCTGTTGTATAGACATGTGTCTGTTCTATTGACATGTGTCTGTAGTATTGACATGTGTCTATTGTATTGACAGGTGTCTGTAGTATTGACATGTGTATGTTGTATTGGCAGTATATGTCTTGTATAGACATGTGTCTGCAGTGTTGACATGTGTCTTTTGAATAGACATGTGTCTGCAGTATAGACATGTCTGTAGTATTGACATGTGTCTGTTGTATTGACATGTGTCTGTTGTATTGACATGTGTCTAGTATTGACAGGTGTCTGTTGTATTGACAGTATATGTCTTGTATAGACATGTGTCTGTAGTATTGACATGTGTCTGTTGTATTGACATGTGTCTAGTATTGACATGTGTCTGTTGTATTGACATGTGTCTAGTATTGACATGTGTCTGTTGTATTGACTGTATATGTCTTGTATAGACATATGTCTGTTGTATAGACATGTGTCTGCAGTATAGACATGTGTCTGTAGTATAGACATGTCTGTTGTATTGACAGTATGTATCTTGTATTGACAGTATGTGTCTCTTGTATTGACAGTATGTCTGTTGTATTGACAGTATGTGTCTGTTGTATTGACATGTGTCTGTAGTATTGACATGTGTCTGTTGTATTGACATGTGTCTGTTGTATTGACATGTGTCTGTTGTATTGACAGTATGTGTCTGTAGTATTGACATATGTCTGCAGTATTGACATGTGTCTGTTGTATTGACAGTATATGTCTTGTATAGACATGTGTATGTTGTAAAGACGTGTCTGTAGTATTGACATGTGTCTGTTGTATTGACATGTGTCTAGTATTGACATGTGTCTGTTGTATTGACAGTACATGTCTGTTGTATTGACAGTACATGTCTGTTGTATTGACAGTATGTCTGTTGTATTGACAGTATATGTTTTGTATAGACATGTGTCTGCAGTATTGACATGTTTTTGTTGTATAGACATGTGTCTGCAGTATAGACATGTGTCTGTAGTATTGACATGTGTCTATTGTATTGACAGTATGTATCTTGTATTGACAGTATGTCTGTTGTACTGACAGTATGTCTGTTGTATTAACATGTGTCTGTAGTATTGACATGTCTGTTGTATTGACAGTATGTGTCTGTTGTATTGACAGTATGTCTGTAGTATTGACATGTGTGTTGTATTGACAGTATGTGTCTGTTGTATTGAAAGTATGTATCTGTTGTACAGAAAGTATGTGTCTACTGTTTGATATTATGCTAATAACAATAAAACTGAATTTTATATGTAAATATTTATTTTATATATTTAATATTATAAGATATAACAACATTCTCTCTCTTGTGTATAAAGGCACTAACACTTCAACATTAGAAAAATAATCTGACATTAAATTGGTAAACATTTCACTAAAATTGGCAGTGTCATGTGAAAGTTTCACATTTGTGATGCTGAAGCGGGTTCTAAGTATTAATCAGTCTGATTATGAGAAATATTTAAATGTTATGGGAAAAATGGTATTATAAAAATGAATTCTTATTATTACTGCGAAAAATGTCATTGGTTCATAATAACTTACAATTCTTGGCATAATTTCAATTTGATATGAAAATTTATGCAAGAACTGGACCTCTATCAGAAATGATCCAACATCTTCAGTAACAAGATCTAACAGTATTTTAAACTGATAATGGATAGTTAATTTGTTACAGTCTACATCAGTCCTGAGACCTCACACTTGTACTGACTACCTGGACACACATAATGATACCAGTATTAGAACATTTTCCTCATGTCATCAGGTGTCAGTTCACGTCCTCTGTAAGGTACAGACTTGATGTTGTATCTGTTGTCCTTAAACTGTAACAACTAACACGATGTCAGTCTGATATTGCAGATATTGTCCAAAAACAATGTACAGACTGTTCCATTCTGATATAGGGGACATATTGGTCAGCGCTTTTGTAGACGTACAGACTGTTCCATTCTGATATAGGGGACACATTGGTCAGTGCTTTTGTAGACATACAGACTGTTCCAACCTTCTGATAAAGGGGACATATTGGTCAGCACTTTTGTAGACATACAGACTGTTCCAACCTTCTGATAAAGGGGACATATTGGTCTGCGCTTTTGTAGACGTACAGACTGTTCCATTCTGATGTAGAGGACATATTGGTAAGCTCTTTTGTTGACATACAGACTGTTCCATTCTGATATAGGGGACACAATGGTCAGTGCTTTTGTAGACATACAGACTGTTCCAACCTTCTGATAAAGGGGACATATTGGTCAGCGCTTTTGTAGCCGGACAGACTGTTTCATTCTTCTGATATAGGGGACATACTGGTCAACCTGTTGTAGATGTATAGACTGTTCCATTCTCTTGATATAGGGGACATGTTTGTTAGTTTTTTTTTTTGGCAGATGTACAAGCTGTTCCATTCAGCTGTTATAGGGAAATAACAGGCTTTTCCATTTCACCTATACAGTGGATATATTGGACTGTTCCATGGTGCTGATACAGAATGGACATGTTGGTCAGTATTTGTTGTGAAAGGGGTCCGCTCCCAGGATAGGTAACAATGGTTGGACAATATCGCTGATCACAGCAAACGCCTGCAAAATAGCCAAGTCAATATAATCATGCAGTGTTTGATACCATGCTATAATTATATCTCTGTATAAGCCTGATAATACCGACACATCATCAACACTTTTTGTACTTGATTCATAATGACCTTTAACCTCACTAAACTTTGACCATTAGGAATATGAACCTGCCACATAATCTTTTATGACTTTAAAGAAAGACAAACTAAAATATCTTAACTAATGATAAGCCCAGGTCTGGTAATAAGCCCATCCATTTTTTTTTCGCTGTACAGGTGTACAATGATAATTTTAATGTCCTTTAGTAAGCCAATCCTTGGATTTTGAATCATGATTAGTGTGTTAACTCCCTTGGCTTATTGTAAAAAGGGTTGGAAGATGGGAACATCGTACAAGTATGGTTAAACAAGACTTGCATGAAGTCACAATGTCCAATCATTCACTGCCAAAGTGACTAAAATTCATGGCACCCATTCGAAAAGTGCCTGGACACGTACAACAAAGCATGGTAGGTCTTTGACACAGTGATAGTTTGTTAGGTTCATAGTCTCATGAACAGCCATAGTCATTTTGAGGCAGGTTTTCCTTGTAGCAGCTGATGGTGACCTCAATGAACAGCATACTGGAGGAGCTTAAAAACAATTAAGGCAAAGTCTCTTGCCCAAGGACACCACCATGTCAGCATAAATTGGACTGTTTCTCAGCTTCCTGAGAAACACAAACCACTATGGGTAAGGGGTGTTGAACTGTGCACCATTATAATCTACACCTGAGGTTTGGTACATCAACCATTCGACCCAATAAGCTATCACATCCCCCCTCCCCCCTCCCCTCCCCTTCCCGCCTCGAACACAATGAGAAATATACAAGTTAATGTAGATATATTCTTACAGCCGTGGTGTTGATGGTCATAAATCGGATGTAGAGTCCTGAGATTCCCACTTTGTTTGTTATTGGACTGACACTACACATTGTGTCTGTGTCGTACTCCTCACCTACAAGTTAAAACCATAAAATATTCAAAAACTTAAACTCCAAACCACTTCATTGGTTTAAATCGTAAGGAAAGTTAAACTGACTTAGAAAGGATGGATCAATTATGGAGACTGCCATAGCAACATGAAGTAAATACTTTCTATGTCATACTTATGACAAATTTAAAGGTAATTACAACTTAGCAATTATGACGTAGCTATGTTGTAATTACGAGATGCATATATGTTATAATTATGACGTAGCTATGTTATAATTACGAGATGCATATATGTTATAATTATGACGTAACTATGTTGTAATTACGAGATGCATATATGTTATAATTATGACGTAACTATGTTATAATTACGAGATGCATATATGTTATAACTATGATGTAGCTTTGTTGTAATTACGAGATGCCTATATGTTATAACTATGATGTAGCTATGTCAAAACTACGAGATAACTATAAATTAAGGTATGACGTAGCTATGTCGTAATTACGAGATGCCTATATGTTATAATTATGACGTAGCTATGTCGTAATTACGAGATGCCTATATGTTATTATTATGACATAGCTAAGTTTTAAATACGAGATGCCTATATTTCATGATTATGACAGTAATTATGAGATAACTATATGTCATCATTATGACATAGCTAAGTCGTAATTACGAGATAACTATAAATTAAGGTATGACATAGCTATGTCGTAATTACGAGATAACTATAAATTAAGGTATGACATAGCTAAGTCGTAATTACGAGATAACTATAAATTAAGGTATGGCATAGCTATGTCGTAATTTCAATGACCAGATTTCTGTTTTAACTAAATACTCATACGACCTTACAGGCATTACTGTCTTCTATGAGGTTATGATATGATCCTATTCTAATGCAAATGAATATGATGAGAGAAAATGATACATTTAATACTACCAAGCCTTAAGCTTTGTATACAGAGTTCTGATAGTAAGAATTCAAATCATACAGAGTACAGTGGGTAAGTGTGAAACTTTATTACCAAACTGTTTTTTTGGCGTGAGTGTCTTCTGAAGGTGTGCACATATGTCCTGGAGCTTATTGCCTAGTATCACACAGGTACCTGTCACCTGTAATTATATAAACAATAAATAAATTTAAACCTGTCTGATCTGTATTTTTATTCATCTGACAAACTTGTTATGGTTGCAAGAAACTATGATTTTAACTTGACGTTGAACAAACTTTTCCCAAAAAGGAAGATCTTTTTTAAACAAATCATTTCTGTGAATTTTTTTTTCCCTAAACTGAACCTGTGCTATCTAGGAGACTGTTTCCAACAAAGTGGAGAAACCATGATCTATTGTTAAAGTGCGGTGTCCTCAGCAGCTGGTTGCACCCTAACTGAACAACATACAGGAGGCCAAGGACATGCCATCAAGTGTATATTAAGATAAAGTGTCTTGCCCAAAGATAAAAACACATCAGCAGAGACCAATCCATTTCTCAGCTTCTTTAGAAACACCATGGGTAAGGAGTGTCGTTGCCATCTTGGATCTTACCTGATGTTGCATTTACCAGTACTCCAACTAAACCACTAAGCAGCACAAATGTATACCTGAATATTCTACAGACAGTACGATAGGAAATGTCACTGCTGGTGTGAACATTGTACATCACAGATGTTGTTGAGAGTCAACACGTGATCAGTGTTACAATTATTGAGTAAAAATCTACAGATTTCAGTTATGTACACCAATTTATAATTACACATTTACTCACAAACAATACATAAACACCAAGTCCTTATTTCTCAGCAACCTACTTTATATTTTTTCATTGACTGGTGGATGGTAAGGTAGGGTGAATCTTGCATCAGAACTTGGTCCTTGAAGATCAACTTCCCATCCACTTTGATCTCTGTTCTATTGAGATACCTGTCATCAACAGAAATAAGTCATAAGCATCAATGGACTACTGATGGATCTGTAGGAGTGTTCGAAATAGGAAGCATGTTATATTAAGCTGACATGTTAACAGCATTGGTCTAGTACTAGATTTACCTGCTGAACTGGTCCAGGTACACAACACTGAACCAGTACTAGATTTACCTGTTGAACTGGTCCAGGTACACAACAATGAACCAGTACTAGATTTACCTGTTGAACTGGTCCAGGTACACAACAATGAACCAGTGCTAGATTTATCTGTTGAACTGGTCCAGGTACACAACACTGAACCAGTGCTAGATTTACCTGTTGAACTGGTCCAGCTACACAACAATGAACCAGTACTAGATTTACCTGTTGAACTGGTCCAGCTACACAACACTGAACCAGTGCTAGATTTACCTGTTGAACTGGTCCAGGTACACAACTCTGAACCAGTGCTAGATTTACCTGTTGAACTGTTCCAGGTACACAACACTGAACCAGTGCTAGATTTACCTGTTGAACTGGTCCAGGTACACAACACTGAATCAGTGCTAGATTTACCTGTTGAACTGGTCAAGGTACACAACACTGAACCAGTGCTAGATTTACCTGTTGAACTGGTCCAGCTACACAACAATGAACCAGTGCTAGATTTATCTGTTGAACTGGTCAAGGTACACAACACTGAACCAGTGCTAGATTTACCTGTTGAACTGGTCCAGGTACACAACACTGAACCAGTGCTAGATTTACCTGTTGAACTGGTCCAGGTACACCACTCTGAACCAGTACTAGATTTACCTGTTGAACTGGTCCAGCTACACAACACTGAACCAGTGCTAGATTTACCTGTTGAACTGGTCCAGCTACACAACACTGAACCAGTGCTAGATTTACCTGTTGAACTGGTCCAGCTACACAACACTGAACCAGTGCTAGATTTACCTGTTGAACTGGTCCAGGTACACAACACTGAACCAGTGCTAGATTTACCTGTTGAACTGGTCCAGGTACACAACACTGAACCAGTGCTAGATTTACCTGTTGAACTGGTCCAGGTACACAACACTGAACCAGTGCTAGATTTACCTGTTGAACTGGTCCAGGTACACTACTCTTAACCAGTACTAGATTTACCTGTTGAACTGTTCCAGGTACACAACACTGAACCAGTGCTAGATTTACCTGTTGAACTGGTCCAGGTACACCACTCTGAACCAGTACTAGATTTACCTGTTGAACTGGTCCAGGTACACAACACTGAACCAGTGCTAGATTTACTTGTTGAACTGGTCCAGGTACACAACACTGAACCAGTGCTAGATTTATCTGCTGAACTGGTCCAGGTACACAACACTGAACCAGTGCTAGATTTACCTGCTAAACTCCCATTCCTCATTTCTAGCCACTCTACCAGCTGTGAGCCAGTCCAGATACACAACATTGGCTGTGTTACAAAGCTGTATCTCCTGAAAAAAGTTATTATTAAGATTTATATGATAAACTGATGTGCGATGCAGTGAAGTATGATTAATTTCTGTAATACGTTTATTCATCCTAATATCACAACAAACCTGACCAATCATAACATTACAGAGTTAGTAACTCTGGTGCCCCATGTAACCATAACTTACAAGTAACCATAGGCCTGTTTGTTTATGCCGACAGACCAGTTCGTTGGCACTTCAAATGTAATATTGCAAGCGTAAATCAGGACAGACCTTCTAATATTTATTCCAGCTCTTCAAAGACTTAGTCACTCACCAGAAACCAAAATAAAATCAGGAAAAATGTCCCTTTTTCATTAAAAATTGACCCCAGTACTGGTACTGATGGTCACATTAATAAAGGAAAAGTTACCTCATATCTTATAATGTAAGGGAGACAACTTTTATCATACACACTTTAATTATCTCTTCATTTGTATATTATTACAAGTATACATCACTTCTATATAACTTTGTAATCTGAGACTTTGTCACTCTAATATAATATCTTTGTATCTTGTTTTGTATTTTGAGACTTTGTCACTCTAATATAATATCTGTATCTTGTTTTGCATTTGAGACTTTGTCACTCTAATATAATGTCTTTGTATCTTATTTTGCATTTGAGACTTTGTCACTCTAATATAATATCTTTGTATCTTATTTCACATTTTGAGGCTTTGTCACTCTGATATAATATTATTTGTCTTGTTTTGTATTTTGAGGCTTTGTCACTCTAATATAATATCTTTGTATCTTGTTTTATCACATTTTTGTAATGTAATATCTACATGATTACATGAAAGTGTATATTTTAGTAAATCAGGATGTACCTCATTTCTGTTACAAACCTGTTTAACTATGGGGTTTGTTTGTTCATCATGACGTACCTGTGTTTGTGTATATGTGGCATCCTTGTAACATACGAGGTAGTCAGGTAACACACACAGGAGTGCCTCCTTACCAACAGAATATACAAACGACTGAGTTGTCTGGCGTCCATCTTCACAATGATACACCTGGAGAGGAATGGGCAAATACAGAACAGGGGACATTCAGAATAGATTATCTTATACATTACAAACCAAACAGCAATCTGCATCCATCTCCATAATGAATTTGATAATAATTTCATACTGATTTCTCAGACTTATTTATCAAGCTTATTTCAGCTGAGAATGGTCATCATTTATTTATACAAATAAAGATAAGAAAAAAGGTATCGTATGGTCATCAAACTGATTTCAAGTCCTGAATGGAGCTAATTTCTGGTCTCTAGATGAACTCTGACCTTTGTAGCCTCTTGACTGGTTAGTAGACCACAGCAGCCATCTTGGATGTCAATCTCCATGGAAACCTTGTCTCCGCCAACCAACCCTCCACCAAATGTAATCGGAAAAATCCAGCGACATGTCTTATTACCAATATGTTCGGGTACAAGGATTTTCATCTATCGAAAAAAATATTTAGACAAGATAATGAAAAGATAAATAAATGTTCCCAACAAGCATGTGTCTGATTCACTTTTCATAATACAAATTCCTCTCCGCCCTCCCTCCTCTATAAAACACCCACAAGATACTAGTATTTGATAGTCAACATCTCAGACAATCCCAATTCCTCTCTGCCCTCCTCCTCCCCTATATAACGCTCACTGGATAATGATATTTGACAGTACCCCCCCCCAACATTCCCCCCCCCATACAGATAATATTTGACAGTTCTACTTTTGACAATCTAACTTTCCCCTCTTCTTTTTCTATCTAGTACTCACAGGGTAACGATATTCGATAGTCACTGCTTCTGACAGTTTAAATTGCTCGCCCTTTTTCTCTACTTGTGCTTCTAAGACCACCTTCGCTGTTGGTCCCTGCGATTGCTTGGACATCGTCACGGCTTTTGTCTGTTCAATTTTACTGTTATCTGTGACAAGCTGTTCGTAACAAAAAATATTTCATCATAGAAATGTGTTTCAGCAATTTTTGTTCTAATCAACAGGAACATAAGGATTTGTCAATGTGAATGTCGACCTAACCTGGTCTGTATTGAAAATCACCATTCTGTAAAACTGACGACCATTTACATCTTTGGCAGGTTTTTTTCACAACCTAAATAAGAAGCAAACATCAACACAGCTCTCCAAGGGAACCAATCATTAACCTCATGAATAATGCTTTGTAATCACTGCAACACTGAAATGGCATGTTTATTTCAGCATTGAACTTTTTTCAGTTGACATTCATGGGCAAATGAATGCCATCAGAATTAGGGCAAATTCAATAAAACGTGCTAATTGCTCAACATTGAACAATGCCAACGGATGCCAATTTTAAACAATTCAATGCTTTTATTTATCAGTTTGAATTTTCACCCTGTTATAAGAGGAGGCAACCTCAATTTGTTTACGTTACATGTGATATCCCTACGCCATTTGCAGTGAATTAGCTGGTAACATACACCTGACCTTGATGAGGCTATACCGAAGCAATATAAAACAATGGTAAATGTTGATAAAACTGTAATGATGTCAGTGTAAACATTACCAACTCTACTTGGATTAGATTTAAAGTCTTTCCAACACTTTCACATTTGCATTTGGCTTGCCCAAAGATATTTTTTTAAAATTTTTTTGTGACAGAGTTAGTTATATTTGAACAATTTGATAGTCATTATATATCATTTTGGTAAGTTGTACCAATAACAGCCATCCGTCTTTCAACAATTTTATCAAAACATAGATAATTAGATCTAACATCCTTCAGAAAATCTTCACAAAGTGTAGGTGTTCTTCAAGAGATGGAGTCCTGGTGTAATACTGAGTCCAGTTCCAGAGCAGTTATTGGAAGATAAGACAAGACAGCATCTGTCCAGCTGAACCTTCCCACCGAACGCTGTCTGGTCATATCTACTGTTAATTTTATCAAAAGTTTTTTCTTCTGCAATTTTTTTCAATAAAGGCTTACAGTTCAGACGAAAAATGATACTGGAGATTTGAGATCTACCATAAGCTTTTCTGTGTGTTTGAATTAATATGATAAATTTCAATTTTCATGATTATCTCCCCTCCCTCCTTTTTCATGTGTGCAACTTAATTGTTGAAGGGGAGGCAAAGGAAAGTATATTGTACTCTAGTATTGATTCTTTGAATTCTTTGTATAAAAATATTCTCCTGGTTTTTTTTTCAATTAATGGTATATACAACCTCTAGTTGTACAAATAATTTTATTCTTCAAAGATTTTTGGCTTTAGTTTTCAGAAAAACAATTCCAGTCTTTTTTGTCTTCTTTTTATGCTAGAAAAATCTAATTCTTTTGATATATCACTATGTATATATATATGTCACTATGTATATATATCACTATGTATATGTATATATATATATATGTCACTATGTATATATATATATGTCACTATGTATATATATATATGTTTTACAGTTTAAACTTTAACAAAAACAGTCAACTCTGTTTTCATACCTTTTATACACAGCTGTACACTCCTGTAATTTTAGAAGAAAACAACAACTTGTACACAAAAGCTGACACACATCTGAACACATGCAAATGTGTATATAAAAAACCTATATACAGCTAGCTTGCACTTGCCTATGTATAACTTACAAAAAACATACAAGTATGCATAGATAAATTAGATAACATATTTATAGTAAAAATACACACATACCCAGGCATGTAGAAAAAATACACCTGTGTACATGTGTGTTTACAAAACCACATATGTCGTACATGTGTGTACATAAAATAACCAGTACATATTTACAAATGTATAGTAAAACACACCTGTATAACGTGTACACACGTGACTATAGTAGAGAACCTGTATACAGATGGTTTACACAGGTCAGGTGTTCTGCAAACACCCGTGCACTGCCAAAATATGGACTTATATATATATATATATATACCTTAAGTCCGTTGCAAAAAAAAACATGATATATGCATACAAATGACAGTTTGATTCACATGAAAGTCGGTCCCTTACCATACTTCGGGGATGTGACTCCGTATCAGTGGACGGGCAATGTCGCAGCTACTTGTCATAGAGTTCTAGTCGGTAGAGACAACAATTCATGTAATTCGTTTTTTCTAACTGCATTTGTTTTGTGATCCGTGCTGTGTTGTTGACATGCGCACGTAGTGTATGTACAATGTCTTATTAAACACAAAAGGGACATCGTAATCGGGTTACGAAGGCATCTTCTTACTATGACCTATTTAATAACAGAGTTATCTCCCTTATTACTCTGCCCAAGTGAAATCATCAACAGAAACTTGTAAAATTTTGTTAGATAATTTGTCAAAATCCAAGATACGTATGTATTCTTTTGTAGATTTTTTTCGATTGCACCCAAAACTGAATCACAAACACAAGAGAACCAAGGCAAACCCATACATACACGTTTGTGAAGAGGATTCATCTGTTTCTTCCAAGATATATAGCGGCAAAAAGCCTTTGCATTAAAAATCCAAGAAACGAATTTTATTTTATCGATGTCTTATTCCTAAAATTGCAGCTGTCCGTCTACAGACAGAGGAAAATCTTTATACGAAGGGAGCAATCTATAGAATAATAGCAAATAACAATGACAGTTCGAAGGATCCTTTTGAATGATATCATAGACCGGCCTCCTGGCGCGTAGCTGCCTAATATCTTTTTCACAAAAAAAAAAAAAAAAAATGCCACGCCATCCTGATTTCTTTCCAGGGGGATGAAGACAAAAATGGAAGTCATAAACCATACATAAATTGTGCCCCCTCATGCATTCCTGAATCCGCCCCAGTTTAAACGTTTAAAGTCAAGAATGAGAATTTCTGCTTGACAGTATCTAGCTCGTTTTCAGTATTACGGTTGTCACGCAAGGCATATTCCATGACAGTGTCAATTAGCACCAGTCCGCTGAAAGGTCGAAAGGCCGTAATAGTGAACGTAAGGCTTGATAAATAAATCGGTCGTAATACTGAACGTAAGGCTTGTTAAATAAATCGGTCGTAATACTGAACGTAAGGCTTGATAAATAAATGGGTCGTAATACTGAACGTAAGGCTTGTTAAATAAATCGGTCATAATACTGAACGTAAGGCTTGTTAAATAAATCGGTGGTAATACTGAACGTAAGGCTTGTTAAATAAATCGGTCGTAATACTGAACGTGAGGCTTGTTAAATAAATCGGTCATAATACTGAACGTAAGGCTTGTTAAATAAATCGGTCGTAATATTGAACGTAAGGCTTGTTAAATAAATCGGTCGTAATACTGAACGTAAGGCTTGTTAAATAAATCATACTGAACGTAAGGCTTGTTAAATAAATCGGTGGTAATACTGAACGTAAGGCTTGTTAAATAAATCGGTGGTAATACTGAACGTAAGGCTTGTCAAATAAATCGGTGGTAATACTGAACGTAAGGCTTGTTAAATAAATCGGTGGTAATACTGAACGTAAGGCTTGTTAAATAAATCGGTCGTAATACTGAACGTAAGGCTTGTTAAATAAATCGGTGGTAATACTGAACGTAAGGCTTGTTAAACAAATCATACTGAACGTAAGGCTTGTTAAATAAATCGGTCGTAATACTGAACGTAAGGCTTGTTAAATAAATCGGTCGTAATATTGAACGAAAGGCTTGTTAAATAAATCGGTCGTAATACTGAACGTAAGGCTCGTTAAATAAATCATACTGAACGTAAGGCTTGTTAAATAAATCGGTCGTAATACTGAACGTAAGGCTTGTTAAATAAATCGGTGGTAATACTGAACGTAAGGCTTGTTAAATAAATCGGTCGTAATACTGAACGTGAGGCTTGTTAAATAAATCGGTCGTAATACTGAACGTAAGGCTTGTTAAATAAATCGGTGGTAATACTGAACGTAAGGCTTGTTAAATAAATCGGTGGTAATACTGGACGTAAGGCTTGCTAAATAAATCGGTCGTAATACTGAACGTAAGGCTTGTTAAATAAATCGGTCGTAATACTGAACGTAAGGCTTGTTAAATAAATCGGTCGTAATACTGAACGTGAGGCTTGTTAAATAAATCGGTCGTAATACTGAACGTGAGGCTTGTTAAATAAATCGGTCGTAATACTGAACGTGAGGCTTGTTAAATAAATCGGTCGTAATACTGAACGTAAGGCTTGTTAAATAAATCGTTCGTAAAACTGAACGTAAGGCTTGTTAAATAAATCGGTCAATGTGATTATATACATGTTGATGTCAGACGAAGGAGCAGTGATGACAGACACCATAATCTCACAAGGAAATGTTCCCCGGATTTTGGGTATGAAACTGGTCGTATTTGATACTCTTTAAGTTTCGTTGTTGGGAATATATCTCTCGTTTTTTTTTTAGAGGAACATGATATTAAGTTACTTGGATTAATCACGATTTACAAGGCGAATGCCGTCAATAGAACAAGACTCTGATACCCTCTCGAAACGCCTGGTTTTATTCTCATTGTATTTTATTCATGGGCCTCTATTTGTGTATTTTTCATTTGTGCATATTTTGCCCTCTTTTTTTTTTATAGATTTGGGACAAATATTCTGTTTAAATGAAAGTATTTTTTTATCGAGTTTTCACGGACACTGATTGGCGCGCCTTTCTTTGATAGTCACTCCTTGGTCCCGCGACCGATTTCTTGTGACACGGCAGTTTTGCACTCTTCACCCCATCCACCATCTAAGTTACCCCACCGTCACAGGTCTCCCCATCTCTCTTCATCTCGTTTGAATTTAAACTGCTTACTGAATATTTAAAAACATAACTGGACTTCAGTTATCAAAACCATATCCGTGATCCAAAGTCTGGAGTCTCCAAATACTACCGGAGAGACAAGTGTGGTTAAACCAATGATCAACCCTCTTGCAAATAACCGACGTGCACACAGGACATTTCCATCAAAGTATATTCTCTTTGTTATACCTGAGTATATATCTATGCCCTATACTGCTATTTGTAGAGATCAAATGATCGATATTGATTTTTACAGGTGGAATTTCCACACCGTACGTGACAATTATACAGCTTGCGTGTGCTTCGTCAGCGTTCGGTGCTTAAATAAATCACTTCCGTACTAAGTAATTGAATGTACAGTGTAGATCTACATACATGACAACCGTATATTAAACTTAGTTTATAGTCTCCCTAGTTGTTCAGTCGGACAGCAGCATATTTGGGAAGTAAATATTGATAATTTGTCGTCCTAAAAAAATTAACTGTCATGTCTTATTGAAATCAAGATTGTACAAAAGACACACACGTGAATAGCGCCTTTTTCTTAATTTAGAGTGAGATACAGTAGAGCCAAACAATGAATTAAACTTTATCATACAGCTGTTTCGTCCTTCTAGGACTCGTCAGTGATGCTAAGGACCTAAATTCTGAAGCCTAGGAGGCGACTAAGGAAAATCCAAGTCCAAATTTAACATACATGTACAATACATTATTTCTTTCTTTCCTACATGTACACCTTCATTAAGACAGAAAGGGCAAATTCTATAAATCTATACCGACTTATTTTTCAACATAGACCACTGCAATCGACACACACTTGTTGTTTCATCTCGTTTATCAGTCAAAAAGTGTTTTTACTGGGAGCTAGGTAGGTCTGAAGAATACACGATGGGCTTGAAAGAAGTGTAAAGTTACACAAAACTTCCATCGTGCCTTGACCGGTATAGGCTTGTGCGTTGTCGTGTAATGCAGAATACCTCATCGTATTTTCAGAAGCGTTTTTACTAGGTATATGGCGCACCTGCTTCAGTAAGTTAGTGTAGGATCAAGTGGGTGATGTAATGCACTCCTTCACCGTCCCATAGATCGCCATATCCTTCCTGGTTAACAGTGGTTAATGAAAGTTGAAGAATTGAATTGAAGAAAACTGGAAACATTATTGTCAAGGGTCCCGAGGATAGATGTATCGTATGAAATAAATACAGCTCAGTCCCTTCAGTTTTGAAATTTATTAATAAATGTCCCTGACATTATCATAACTTATATTCTAGTTTATTTTATTCAGCATTGGTCCAACAATACACAAGAGGTTATTTTTTTCAGTTAAAATGTTCGCTCCCTCTAACCCAAAATCCTTGATCCACGCCTGGTGGTAACGATTTAATTTTTTTCACCCACCATTTGTTTATTCTAGCTAACTTGTCAGCAACCGCGATCTGGGGCCTTACACTTTACGGATCAAACATTGCACACACCTGTAACGACAAGACTCTAGTTTGGCGTTGTATCGACAACCTTGTATGCTTTATGTCATTTGAAAGAATTCGCTGGACCAGACCATAACTGTCTTACATGTTAGACAGAAAAAGCTGGACCAGACCACGACGGTCTTACGTGTTAGACTGAAAAAGCTGGACCAGACCACAACTGTCTTACATGTTAGACTGAAAAAGCTGGACCAGTCCACAACTGTCTTACGTGTTAGACTGAAAAAGCTGGACCAGACCACAACTGTCTTACATGTTAGACTGAAAAAACTGGACCATACCACAACGGTCTTACATGTTAGACTGAAAAAGCTGGACCAGTCCACAACTGTCTTACGTGTTAGACTGAAAATCTGGACCAGTCCACAACTGTCTTACATGTTAGACTGAAAAAGCATGAAGCAAATACCGACATGGCAACACTATTATGATCCAAACACGAATTCCATAAAACTAGGGCAAACTATGAACAATATAATTTACACGGATACTCATGAAAAAGGAGAATAAGACCATGTGTTCCGGGAGAGTAAGCGTCTTCTGCTTCATTGAAGACGTCTGCCATGTAATGTTTGATCAGTAATAAATGTCATGTTCTAAAGTGAGAACAATGTATACAACAATGGAACCAACAGGCATACTAAAATGCACCAAATACGTCACCAGCTTCATCATCATTTCTCAAACACATACCTCTGAAGTGCTTTATGAAGAAATTAATACAATTATTATACATGTACCTTCGGTCCTTCATTTATTCTTGTACTTACATCTGTATTAAACCACGGACTTTGATGTCCGTGACCGTTAAATTTCCGTAGCCAGTGGCGGTTAAATG